GTTTAATATGTTTCATGATTTGCCTCTCTTAACTTCACTTAGGTCTATAAACAGGTACATATTGATGCTACAAAAAGCGGATACTAAATGCCAATGCATTCTTTCTTATTTGTCTACTTAGGTGGGTTTATTCCGGGAATCGTCACAACTGCGTTTTAATTCCATTTTCTTAATAGAATTGTAAAATTGTTTCCTGGATCATGATAATTCCACTTTGATATAGTTTATTTCACTTTATGAATTGATGCAACAGATATAAAGCTGTGTGTTATGATTAATTCATACAAATATTCTACGTTAACACGTTTGGTCTACAAAGCAAGCCATCGTGTTCAAGTGCTTCATACTTTAATACATACCAAGCGTCGTTAATTAAACTAAGTTGTTTCCTATTGTCCTTATACTGTGTTCTGATTTAATTGTACATAAACATGTAAGCTATACGGGCAAAGGCCAAAGAGAATGTATTAAAAACACAGATAGAAATGATCTCATCGAGTAAATCCAGTTGCAATTAAACAAATCGTCCAAACCACGTTCCAACGTGCAAAGAACCATTGTCTGAAACCCCCCGACACCATTCATAATCATGCAATATGCAAATGTGAAACTTATTTTCAAAACTCTTTTTTATTTCAAATATTTTTAAAGAAATAATCTACCTTAAGCTATAAGATTCATTGGATGGTTATTTTAACATTATGAACTACTATTTACTACTATACCATTTCATTTCCATTACCAGGTTAGGTTTAAGTATACACCATTGTGCAATGAATATAAATATCCAAGCACAAGTGCCATAGGAGGGGACCAAAACCAAAAACTGTAAAGTCACCTAGCAAGAAAATGAAATTCTAGATATAAACGTGTCATAAGAAAAATATACACGATGTATCCCAAAACCATGATCTAACGTAAAAAATGTCTAAAACCCCCTTCCACCCTCCAATCAAGAGCCAATGTTACAATCCAGGACCAAAATACCAAGGGAGCCAAGGGACATTTCATTCATACTGAAGTCATTACAATACATGTTGGAGAAATGATTGATGACCAAAACTCATAACGTCAAAAAACAGTTGTAGATATTATACCTTGTACTCATACAAATATATCTGTCTCAAATGATGTTGGATGGACCAAATCCAGTCTTGAAGTACATTTGAAATTTAAAGGGTCTAACTTTTTAACTAATTCAAAAGGTATAACATAGCATCTCGGTTTGAACATCATCTTTAAAAATATCCTGTACAATTTTATCTCCTGACACAATGTAAACCTATGTTTCGCAGTATCTGACACATTTTCTTTTTCTTTTGTTAAATTTGCAATTGTATCAGGTCGATGTGTTCTTACCAGACACGACGTTCCAATAATTCTTTGTGCATGATAAGACAATGTTTACTGATGTGTCACATGATATTTGTTGCAGTTGTCGTTAAACTGAACCTTTATTACTTCCTTCTAAGAACTTGGAGAACAGAAAGTTCGAAACGCCATGAGATCATGCTGAATATTTATATGAGTCATGCTTGATTGATTACAAAAAAATCAAGGCTATCATTTCAATATCAAAGAATAAATAAACTCGACTTTGTCGTGACTAGCCTCCTCAAATCACTGCCACGTTATTTTTTAGTATAGCAGCTGCAGTGGTTAACGTGGTGGTTCCTACATTTTTGTTTTTTTATTTTCATATTTCAAGAACTGAAATGATACAAACAACATGTCTGTATTAATGGCTCTTCTTGTAATATTTCTGAATCCATAGATCCATAGACAATTTTAAAGAATTGAAATTATTAAAGAATATTATTCTTCAGCTTTACTTTGTTAATAACGTGCATAGCAATAAATGAGAAAAAAATTAACGTACTTAATTTGGTGGTGATTTGTGTTTTTTTTATTTTCAAAACGCATGAAGTTAACCTTTATAACTACAATATGCTTCGTCGGAACGAGTTCAGGTGTGATCATTCAACCATAAAATTAATAACTCTAAATGTATTAATAAGTAGGGAATAAATGACATATAAAACCTGGCTTCTAAAAAACACTACTGTGCATTTAGACAGACCGGATACTGCATGTGTACATTCATTAAAACAAAAAAAATAGGTGTCTAAATGACGGATTTATGGCCTAATCCTTCCGAATAAATCTAAAGAGAGATAGATGTTCACGCAGAAATGACTATTACGAGCTCGTTTCAGGATGCTCCAACAGGAGATACATCTTATTGTATTCTAAGCACCTCTGATATATAATGGGTGAACGTAATTTATAGCAAAGCAAGAGCGATTATTAAAACCTGTCAATGAGTCGTACTTTCTAGGCATCGTAACCTCTCTTGCAATGACAATAAACATATTCTTAAAACTTTAGAACAATTAGATATTGAACAAGTGAGCTTTAAAGTGATAATAAATGTAGACGTTTCTCTGAGAATGATATCAGTACTGTATACGTCATCTTATCATAAATGAAAGTACTGATGATTGAATGTGGATTGCCTTTTCGTTTCTATTTCTCTTTTTTCAGGGATTTGTTTGAGAGCTCTTTGTATAGGATTTATCTGAGAAATTGTATACACAAGACAAGTAAAGAATAGTTGAGGTTTCATAATTGTTGTATATTTTCATATGACTAATGAGGTATATAGAGTTGTTTTTTATTCTTTCTCTGCATTTACTCGATTTGTGGTTAAGCATTCACACATAGCTAGGTAGGATGTGTCCTATTCCAGCCAATCGGAAAACGCTATTTCACGTGACTGCATTCCGTTATATAACCAATAACGCATTTGTTGTATGGTTGTCAAGGTGAGGAGATTGAAATTGACCAACTTGACCCTTGCAAAAAGTTTCATTGAAAATCTGTTCATTTTGTATCTTTTAGGTGGTTTTGTAGAAAACATTCTACAAAACTCATGTTGCTTATAATGATGATATATTATTAAAGGACAAACGTGTTGATTTAACAATGGGATTATCATGACCAAAACAGTACATTAATTGATAATCGTTTCTAATTGACGTGTTTTATCTCTTGTAAGCATTAAAATAAAAAGGTCGTATAAACATACTACGGAACACCCGTAGTCAAACCGACCCCCAAACGTGAAGGTCGTCTAAAGTACACAAGAGTGAAGATATATTAACTGTCAGATCATTTTTAACCGCAGTTTCGGATTATTTATATCTGTTGTTTCCTTTTTACGTTTAATGTTACATCATAAGGAGGAGTTGTACCCCGAGATTGCAAAGTGACGACTTATTAACGATTGACGTTATTGCATGACAAAATAACTTGCACATTAACACCTTCTTGATTGTTTTTAAATATTTCATTCAAGAAATAGCATCCAATCTTATGAAAAATATAGTGGTGATAAAATCATTGAATCGTAGCTGTTTTGTTAAAGGACTCGATGACTCGAAGAATAATTTTAACAACGCATGTCTTGTGTCCAGACTTAGAATGAGAGTCGCAGCTGATATTGCACATTAATTAGTATCGCCATATTATATTTTATTCACACATAGCTAGGCAAGAGGTGTCCAATTCCAGCCAATCAGAACACGCTATTTCACGTATCTGCATTCCATTTTATAACCAATAACACATTTGGTGTAGAGTTGTCAAGGTAAAAACTTGAACCACAAATTGAAATTGATGCTTTGCCAAGTTTCATTGAAAATATGTTCTTTTAAGTGACATTTACATATTTTATTTATATTTATTTATATTTTTGTATTTTAATTTTTTTTGACATATACATATTTTATATTTTTATTTATTTATATACATATTTCATATTTTGCAATGTGCGAAAAGAATTTAAGGCCCAGACTCAGTACATTGTGTAACTTGGACAATTCCTTTCAGACGTTGGTTCCGCATCTGGTGCAAATTGGAAAGCAACGCATACAGGGAATGGTCATTCGACATTGCACTGAGTCCGGCGCTTTTAAATCAATTAATAAATTGATAACTTAAACAAAACTAGACTAGTATCTCAATATTTTAGGTGGTAGACGTTTTGAGCAGCAAGAACAAAAATGGTACATTTTTGCTTCTGTATGATCATTTTAGCCACGCAAAACTCTCATATGTGCCATAACGATGGACAATTAAATAAATTCCAATGGATTTTTGTTACCCATATCAAGGCAGAGAGTGAATCAATGAATATTACTTAACAATATAAAGAATACAAGAGCAGCGCCAATCGGTCTCTATGATAATTGTATTATTCCTGTTAGACGGAGGTCTTTTTGAAGTCTAATTTCCAGCACCTTAATTGCCAGGAAGCATGCACATCAAATGTCTGCTACCTTCGTGATTAATCACCATCAATATTATTGTATTTATTATATGCTTTCAGTTTGGATTTTTTTGTCAGGCCATTTGCATGTATGTTTAACCATTTGTCAAGTTTCAGAATTTTAGGGATGATAAATTCGACTAGTTATTTAGAAACAGTGCTTATCAATTCAACAGTCTTTCAGACATTCAGATCTCAACAACAATCTAGCTAATGGAAATCAACATTGCGTGTCGCTGGTGTGATGGTTCATAAATATACCACTTGTTAATACTATATCATAAGAATATCATTTTGATTTATCAGAATCTCTCTTTATCTTAAGCTCTTTGCAAAGGGATAGTAGATTCTATTGATCCCACAATAAAAGAATGTGCTTGAGCTCGAATATCCCGACCCAAAAGCAACACCTGAACGTTTTCACGACATACCTCAGAAGTCCTACTCTATATCATTGGGGGATGGTGTCTCTCTTGCATGTAATCTCTGCCCTATATATTTCTCCGCATAACATGTCAACCTCGATATGTAGATAACGTGATCTTTTCTAATCCACGCGTATACTACAAAATAGCATTGTAAATATGGATAAATAATGTTTTTTTGTATTATTCAACTGCAGCTGTCTTTTCATATCTGATTAGCAAAAGTATCCTTCATTTATTTCCAGCCGAAGTACATCATGATTACGATAGAGAAACAAATGGAACTGATCCACAATGCATCTCAACAGTGCATCACGAAAATTCTGAAAGATCCTGATCCCAAAGATGGTAAGTTGAACGTTTTTGACAATGCAACTTGCTTAACCATTTTATACATGTATTAATATTTTTTTTGTACGTTGTAGTTAACACTCAGTAATCATCACAGAATTCAATGTACATTCAATGCCGATTACTGATTATCCTGCCCCTCATCCATGTAAAAAATAAAAGACAAAAGTTTTGAAAAAGAAGCATTATTATGTTTGAAATTTCCAAAGAAAAATAGGCTTTAATTCACTTCAATTTAAAAAGGAACATCATGTTGCCGAACTTTGGAAGGGGCGTGTTATTCGTTATACCAATCACTAGTCAGAGAAGTCACCATTAACTTCGGTATTCAGTATAATTCAGTATTTCCATAACTTGCTCAGCTTAATTCAATTCAGCATACATACTCAAGGTATTTCATAATTATTAAATAAATATTTATGAAATATAATACTAGCAATAACAGCAGAGTTTTATATCAATGTATTTACAAATAACAGTGCAAGGACTTCTACCCCAATCATTTATTGACGTGTACTTTAAGTAAATGTTTGTTTCATCATGGTTTAGTATAATACTCCCCTCCAAACCTGTGACGACCCTGTCACCTCATTAGATAACAACCTGATGAATTTGTTTTTGCAATTGGTTGTCGTGATCAATTATGAATTTGTTCTTTGTTTTGGGGAGAGTAATGCAATTAAGTCATGCCATATAATCATCCTAGATGCAAGTAGCAATAAGACGTTACAATACCGAATCTGTTGTATTCTTAACATTTTTCAATTGTGGCATCTGATTTATCCATTTTGCAACGCATCGCCGAGTAATATAGTCTTTGTAATTTGGTAATGTGTTATGGAGTCAGTATAAACATTTTTCAGTACTTCTAAATTTGGATAAAAGGGCCAATGTGGCGCAATTTTTTGCCAATGACGGCAATGTATAGATCTCATATACAATGTGCCAAGATTTCTCGAGCTACCTTATTAATATTGGCTCAATACATGAACCAATCATTTATTAATTTTATGTTTAAAACATATGACCAGGTGTTAAATATGTTTATGGTTTTTCAATTCTAAAATTGCAAAAATACATATGTTTTAAAATTACATAATCAATGTAAGCCTAAAGACGTAACATGATAAAGCAGAACATGCCTTGACCAGGGAGGTTTTGGGAAAACACAGCGCTAAACAGACATTTAATCAATTTGTTAGTACTTAGATGTGGTGATATATTAAGAGTGCGACGGTTTCAGTTGGGAATACTGATGTCTTTAACAATATAACATAATAGACAGACATATAGGGTGGGCTAAAGAAATGTTACTGATTTTAAAGTGTCATAACTCATTCATCATTTGCATAATTGGTCTCAATTTGGTCTCATATTTGCCTTAGCTGTACACACTGCAACGCTGTTGCCATAATCTTGAAATAAACAATGCATCATTTGGGTAAAATATGTTATTTCGTTTTAGAAAATTCATTCGTTTCTTGATATGACGAAAGCCTTTGATGTAATTGGTAGGGGACCTCTTAGAAAGGATTTTCAGTGTAATACAAAGTGATAATTCAAATGGTGACAAATTTCCAGGGAAATTTTGAATTTCGAAAATGACACTCGTAGCAAGACTAGGAGTAGCTCAGACAATGGACATACTGGCCTCAAAGAAGGATGTTGCTTATCCCCTACTCTATTTTCCTTCGTAATAACGGGGCTTGTCGAAAACACTTTTAGGTATACCTTTTATCAATCAAAATGTCAAAAGAAGTGATATTGTTCTGGTTGACTTTTGAGTGAAAATGAAGAATGTTAGAATTTCGAAAAAACAAGCTTTGGTGATATACACATTTAGGTTTGTTTCTGCTATTTCTGCATGTTTAGTTATTGGTTATAATACTTTTATATTGAGCAATTTACACGTCTGCAAATTATTATGATCATTATCTACTTTTCACGTTGGATTGTGATTTGGAATAACTGGGTTTTAATTTCTTAATGACTGTATTCTTATGACTGTTAGATGTTTTCTTTTTCTTGCTGTAACCATTTTTGTTGTTTTCTCGATGTAACTTGCGCTTACATATTGCAATATCTCTCCAGAAGGTACATACAGTATATATATATTTTGGACGAATATCCACTCTCTCATGTCATAGCAACTATTACATACAGGTGGAGGTTAAATCACCCCTGCTCGGGGCGCCTTCCAAATAATAATCGGATTTAGTCGGAGCATGTGCAAAGTCCCATCGCGATTAATATTATTAAAAGACTGACTATTTTTGTACTCAGAGCTTTCTTAAAGCAAGACGTATAATAAAACTATTTGTTTGACTAAATTAATTGAAAAAATAGAATCTCAAGACAATTTTCGTGATCCTTTTCTTTAAATCTCCTAAACAACTCTGACCTTTTTGAGATAAAAATGTGTTAGAAATGTTTTTTCTAAAATATATGTACTTAGTTCAATGTAAATTCAAAATATATCGATTCCATAATTATTTTGCTCTATCGGCAACTCCGTGTAACTTTTGTAATGATTGTTTATTGTTCGGTGATCGAGAAATTCAGTTTTCTTGCTTGCTTCATGCCTAACATCTTGTCATACCCTCAACAGAATATAGTTTAAACAGTCTACTACACTTCAATTAAGAACGGAAATCAATATATCAAACGACCCAAAGGACCATTTCATCAAAACAAGAGACGTGCTTAACATAGGTATGTGTGAAATCCAATTCCTTTGTGGGTTTGTAAGGCAAGATTGTAAAGGTTTGTAAGAATGTAACTCTCTGATAAACGTTAATCCCTTTCCAATTTATAATATTTTTGTTTTATTGTTTCCTTAGGGTGCAACATTATGATCTATTTGCCTGGCGAATGGTCGGACGGATGGACGGACGGGGGGGGGTGGGCGTCTCGAAAACACATTTCCAGGCAAGCCGATTGAGGGAAACGATATGTACAACTGTTTCAAATATATTGAAGTTTTAATTTTGTATTAAATGTCTATAGAAGGTATTAAACCATTGAATTATCTTATCAATGGTATAAAAATGTGTCACATCACTCGTATTTTGATGAACTTGAATAATTATCAAATACTATAATAGGATTCTAAATTTTCCCCGTGGAATTAATCTCGATAATATCATTACCATCCAGGGGATATCTGTCAGGAATGATGCAGATCCTCTTGGACGTAACATTGCCTGAAACACTCATTGACATTGAGCTTGTAATATTACTTGGTAGCTTGTTTGTAACGTGTCTATGTATTCTAAGGGTTTCATGTGGTGACAGATTGCTAACTTTTTTGTGGACTGTGTTCGGTGCTGGTTGGTGCTCGTCGGTCGGTGTCTTTAACAAATGACAGGTGGTGACATTTTGCATGTAAATGCCTTATCAAATACTGCGTTTGGATAGACTTATTTCATTGCATATGCTATGAAGCAGCTTCCATCTATCCCTATTGAATCACCATCAAGGATGGTCTCAACGTCTGTTATCAATTACGCTTCATAAAACTCTTTGATCTAATTCAGTCCACGGTATACCAAAAGCAATCATCACAAATCTCATTACCCCCGTGCGATTGTTTAACAACAAAAAATCACTGAAAAATATACGGCGTAACTATCAAAAGAATAATATGACGCCATATAAATCAAAGTTATCACAACGTGGATGTAAACCTTCCGTTTTGGTTAACCTTGGGAAAAAATTCGTCTGCGAAACCTTGTCTGTTGAATTATCACTTACTCTTGATTGATACTAATTGCTTTATTCCTTGGACTACTAAAACCTTGTAAGCTGCCTAATTCTTAAGTTCTGTTTAAGAGGTCGTTGAAAAACGTTCTGGGTCATAATAATACTAACTTTGGATCGTTAAAGAAAACCTTTATCGCCACTCATACGTAGTGGTTTGTGGTATACTCCACATAAATGTCACTATTATCAGCTATAATTGGAGATATTCGAGTTATAAATATATTCAGGGAAATCTTTAGAATGGGGTTGTTAATTTGGAAAATGATTTTACCAGACTAACTGATAACGAGATCACGTTTAGTATTATATTTTTCGTCAATATCATGTTTATCATGACCTTTATATGGACCTATGTATTTACTGACATACGTTTCCTTTGGTTTGATATACATCCGTATGTGCTCCTGTTGGACTGCTAATTAATATTCCCTTTCGTTTTGAACGATAACAGGCTAATGCGACAACGTTTTTCGTTCAGAGCTTTTTCAACGAGCGAGATATTTTGACCTTTCCAATAAACCCTGCCACTTTTTGGTAAATCAAAGAAGCTATGATATATTGGTTAGATTGATGATGTCATTCGTTGTAGATCCGTCGCACTTTGTCCAATCATAAATAAGATAAAGGAGCACGTAAGATATGGCAAGCCATTTTCAAAGGGCTATATCTTTAATTCTAAGAATACTTTAACCACAAAAACAAATGGTTCTGTTAGATCCATGTCTTGTCTTTAATAAATGACAGTAGGATGATAATCAAGTTGAATGGATTATCTCTTAAGCTGTTCCTAATCCAACCATCTTCGCCAATTTTCCCTAATTCGGACGCAATTTTCACCAAAAATGCAGCATTTTATTTCAGCTTTTATGGCAAAATTACAATTTATTGTAAGGAATGATCAACCTCTAAAAAGGAAAACTTGATTACTTTGGGATTAGGATAATCCAAAAACAATAACTTTTTTAGGCCGAATTTTTTACCTAAAAGTAGCAATTTTTTAATGAGATTAATGCACGAACACATTAGGCTATGTCACATGATTGATTTCCAAAAAGAAAAAAAATGATCTAAATGAGATAAGCATTATCGGATAATCCATTTGTCATTTTTACCTCATAGGCCATGACCTTAGTGTGAAGTGTATGAAAAGATGTCACTTAGAGCGACATTTAGATGTACCCTATTTTATGCAATGATGTTTATAGATAGAGTTATATATGTTCCATAGATGGCATGATATATTCTACATGGGTGAGTGCTAGATACTCTGTGTATTCATTGTTGCATAATTGCGTATTATAGAAATGAGCATGGATATGTCAACATGACTGGGTCGTGTAAAGTATGTACAGTAAAACATAAATATGTTTAACACCTAGTAAAACACATAAGAGGAAATACTTGTTTATATATTTGAATTGTATAGTGTAAATGAACATTTGAAATATTACACATTTGCGATGTTTCAACAAACATGATTCAATACCATCTTATTTGAATTAACTTTTCCCATGTGTATCTTTCTTTATCATCAACCATATTGGGGGTTTCGAAAGTGCCTTATGTAAAGGAGTTTGCTGTAAATGATCTTCCGAATAGTGTTATATGTAGTAGGTATTGATACAGGTACCACTGTATACAGAGTACATGCAAATAATAATTTTCTCCAATGGGTTGGCCAAACATTTGTTGCATTTTTTGTTCATTTCAAATTGTATTGGATTGTTTTTGCTGATTGAAATTTTTATGGAATAAATAGTTTAATGCGTTGGGTTTTACCCTTTGACAATATGTATATGGCCTTGTGTAATTATGGCCTTGTGTAATTATGATATTGTCACTCGATCACTCTATATTCTCAGTCAATACTTCGGGCTTTGTATGAAAAACCTTATACCTTGTACCCACGTGCCGGCGTACTTGGGGCGTGATACATTCTTTGAAGAGTTCAATTCTAACGTTTCAGATTATTCTGATCATATGAATTGTAGGTGCATTAATGCACTTGTAGAACTACGTGTATGTCTTATAGATCCAACATTTTTCTAGTCATAAATAAGGCCAGAATTGCAAAATTGTTTACCTTTGCTATTTCGATAAAAATTGCCTAATTAAAATGCTCGTTCACTATAGAACCAATCTACACTAAAACGTAAATTTACGATTCCTGAGACTACAATTATCTTTAATCATGCTGTGATTAAATAAAATGATACCCTGACATATTTAAAACCTATTTAGAATGGATTTTTCTCTATTGAAAAGTCCTTTGAATGGCGCTATTTTGACAATCAATGAAAAACAAAAAATTAACAATTCTGGCTTTATTTTATGACTCAGTATCTATCTATCTTTCACTAGACGAAGTTCACATCTATGGATACTATGAATGTATTTATACCTCAGATAGCATTAAAATTTAATAATCTTTTAAAACTTTAAAAATTTAACCCTTCAAAAACTGCATCACCACCCACGTACATGGGTATGAGGTACGAAGCCAATACTTCGTAAAGAAATCATGAAATAACAACATGTAGAACAAGGCATTGCCATTACAAAATGTCATCACCGTGTAGTTCAAGTCAAATCTTGAAAAGAAAATGATTATATGAAGCAAGTTAAAAAATGCCTTTTTGAACTTTTTGAACTTGAGAGGTCAAATGTCAATTCAAAAGTCAGATTTGACTTCTGAGAACTTGTAGGTGATTTTGAAAATTTGGTCAATTCGAAGCAAGTTGAATAATAGCTTTTAGACCCTCTTTACTTTGAGAAGGTCATTGAAGGTCAATTGTAAAGTCAGTTTAAGACCGTTTTCACCTTAAAGAATATGAATGTACAGTAGTAAGAAAGAGAAGTGCATTCTTGTTGTATTGTTTTTGAAGAATGGACACTGCAGCTATCTAAAACCAGTGTGACACAAAATATGATTGACAGTGTTTGGCTCAATATTTACACCTTGACTGTCACATGCAGTGCACCGAAGCTGTTCTTATTAAACCATTTTCAATCACTCAATAGTTGAATTGTAAACACAAAATAAATACAATTTTCAATGTACCTTGCCTGATACATGCAGTGCATTGAAGCTGAACTAATCAAACCAACCCACTTCTCTACACATTTACCACATAGTTAATACAAAAGAATTTTTCTAAACTTGGATCATGGGTCAATTACTCTTCATAAGAATCAGTGTGGGGTTTAAGTTAGATAAACTATTGGAGATGGGTCATATGAGAACTAATAGCCTCAGGCCAAGCCCCTCTGCTATTATTTCTCATAAAACCCAGTACTCATAGTTTATCCGTAACTGAATGAACGATTAGAAGATTCAGTGACCTTCTATAAAATTACAAACTGAACATGTTGTTATACCTTAGATGACTACCTGGTTGTTATTCACTAAAGGGGGTCTCATTATAGGTTGGCACATAAAAATGCCTTTGGGTTCAATGACTGCCACTTGGTTCGGGGTTGTTGCTTTTAGGGGCTGTAATTAGAAATAGAGGTTTTGGTTTTAATAAGGGATCCCAAACTTATCTTTAGGCCATAGGTCTATGTAAAAGTAGTAAAGAGTAAACTTATGCCTTCCTTCCTACTACTTTTCCCTAGGCCTATGCTGTAGGTCAATCGACGGAATTATGATTTCGCTTAGGGGTGCTGTGATTCCAGAAATCAATAAATGCTGCATCTAATATAACTCCATTCTTGAGTCGATTTGACCTAGGATGAAGAAACTACATAGGTGACCACGGGCTTTGAAACCCCATCACAAGTAGTAATAGCGAATTCAACTAACAACTGCCAGATCAACCTACTATTTTATGGCTGATTAAACATAAATAGTACCTGGCACTATTTCATTCATATTAAAATGAATTTACCATCAAAAGTAGGTTAAATCATCGCCTTTTACCCAACATATGACATCATAAATACTATCAAAGTGCAGTCTAATACCGAGTGAGCCAAAAATGTAGCCCAAACTAATTCCGCATCTGTTAAAATGTTATTTCGCATAATAAAACCTTGTTAAATGTATTTTACTAATTTTAATTGGCCCTGCCCCAATAGTTGGGATTTTATGGCTATAAAACGAAACATGGTCAAAATGCCAGCCTCATCTCATGACTACGGGCTATCTCTGAGATAATGTCAACCCCTACAACAAGTAGGAGAACAATTTCTGTGACCATGAACTTACAACCTCAACCGACCAGTGCAGGTCTGCCTGAAGGGACGAGGCTGAAATTTGTAGAATGGCCATAGAATTGTGAACTTGAGGAATGGACCCATGAAACATGGTAAAATGCAAGAAGATTTTACATGGTAAAATTAACTAAATATGATTTCAACTCATACTGGATGAATGAGTTTATAACATTTCTTTGGATGACATTTTTGCCTCACCCTGTAATTCATTTTATTTTCACACTTATTCATTTCAGCCTGCCCTAACAAAGAATCTAGGTTGAATAGCCAAAACCAGGCACATGTAATTACAAAGAACTATTCAGTATATAAAAAGCTCTACGTGAATGACACAACTGTTTTATACACAAACAATACAAGGTTAAATACAGGATTATAATCCATAACGCTGAGTAAGTCACTATCTGAGTGTTTGAAACATTATTTATGGCACTTAGCTGCCCTCTATTTTGTAATTGTATAATATTAGTATGAAGCACTTTAAAATATCAGAAAAAGATACGAAAAAATCACTAAAAAAATATCAAAAAGTAGGTTTACAATTAACTTTTCCCCTTTACAGTTTAAATCATGTCTTAAAGTTCAATACAACTTTGCACTAAAAATAATTAAAAAGGCCTGCACTTTTGGTGAAAATTGCATCTGAATTAGGGAAAATTGGTGAGGATGGGTGGATTAGGAACAGCTTAAGAGATAATTCAATCAACTTGATTATCATCCTTATGTCATTTATTGAAGATAAGACATGGATCTAACAGAACCATTTGATTTTGTGGTTAACTTATTCTTCGAACTAAAGATATAGCTCTTTGAAAATGGCTTGCCATACCTTACATGCTCTTTTGGGTCTGCCACATTAACTTTTTGCTAATCATGAAAAGTCAAACCAACGACACCACCAATCTTGCCCTGTATCTCAATATGTGATTAGAGAGAATATAATCTTCAGACACTGGTCGAGATTACTTATATTTGAATTGGTTGTCAGAACCATTTTGATCTTCAATTTAATACCATTAAAAGCAGAACAAAATTGCCTTTCTGTCGGTGCATTACTTTATTGTAAAGAGTCCCTCGTTCTAGCAGCGTTTTGGTCCCCAGGTGTTAGAAGGCCTTCTTACAGCTGGGGACCAAAATGCCGCTGGAGGTAGGGACTCTGTTGAAGAGAATAATGTACCGTCAGAAAGGGATTTGTGTTATGCTTTTGAAGAAAAAGGGATTTGTGTTATGCTTTTGAAGAAAAACGGTGCAGTATGAGACTCGTAATCCTTGATTTTCAAACATCCGGTAGGTCAAAAATTTGAATTAACGGTCGAAGTTAGGACCGCGTTACAAATATATATTTAAAAATATACTCGAATGTCTATATCCAGGAGTGTATTGTGGCATTGCGTGTGGTGACATAATGTACTGACCGTATTTCTATGTCTATTTCCAGGAGTGTATTGTGGCATTGCATTGGACGACATAATGTGCTGGCCGTATTTATATTTTAATGTCTATTTCCAGGAGTGTATTGTGGCACTGTGTGGGATGACATAATGTGCTGACCGTATTTATATTTGAATGTCTATTTCCAGGAGTGTATTGTGGTACTGTGTGGGATGACATAATGTGCTGACCGTATTTATACTTGAATGTCTATTTCCAGGAGTAATTGTGGCATTGCGTGTGGCGACATAATGTGCTGACCGTATTTATACTTGAATGTCTATTTCCAGGAGTATATTGTGGCATTGCGTGGAATGACATAATGTGCTGACCGTATTTATAGTTGAATGTCTATTTCCAGGAGTGTATTGTGGCATTGCGTGGAATGAGATGATGTGCTGACCGTATTTATACTTGAATGTCTATTTCCAGGAGTGTATTGTGGCATTGCGTGGGACGACATAATGTGCTGGCCGTATACAAAGGCTGGGGTCATGGCTAAACAACGATGTCCAAAATACATCAATGGATTTGCTGATACAGACGGTAATGAACTTGTGCTTGAGTAAAGCTGTATTAACCTGGATTCCGCATCGGTTTCAATCTAGTTAGGTGCTTTATTGAGCTCAATGATTTACACTGGTAAATGCGTATTTCATAGAATCTAACATGATTTGCCTTGTGATTTCCTCAACCAATTATTGCAAATTGCATTAGATAGATTATACTTCATTTGAAAATATGATATACTGCGATTTCATTTCGCAATACCCTCGTATATATCTTGCTAATGTGTGTGCTACACGGGATTGCCATCACAGGCTGTCATATTGCCTCGTATCTGGTGTCCCGTAGAAATGGTGTAACGTGTACCATCACTTGATATTTCCATGACAATAAATATAGATTTCACATATATGTCTCGAAGATCAATTTATAGCTTGATATTCGTACGTTTATTGAATATTGTTTATTTACCCATTTAAACGTAAGCATTTGTCATCGTGCAATGCTAAAACCGTTAAAACAGAAATTGACGATACTTAATCCAAATGACGCTTTTCAATTTGTGTCCGTCAAATCGTCGTCAATGTAAAATGATATGAACACAATACAACTCAAACACTGGATACAGATATAAAGAAGTTACGGACTATGGCTTATGATTTTCCATTTGGCACTCGTATATACATATTTAGACCTTTGAAATATAAACCATTTGACACTCGCATATACATATTTAGACCTTTGAATTATAAAATTCATCATTTTGAAAGCAACATCACAGTCCAATGTAGCACAGATATTTCCTGCTATCTTATCGTGTTCCATGGAATGAGCAATTAAAATATTAATTAAATCAAAGTAAATATCCTCACATCATAAATTAGATAACATCTTGTAAACAACATTCTATTCTTATCCGTTTAATTTTTATGACTCCATTAGGGATTTCGGACTTATTATGGACGCATACATCAACTTAAAAGAGATGTTAAAGGTTCTACGATAATCGAATCCGTTAAGTAAAAAACACATTTCTCTGTCACCATAAACACCAATTACAGAACAGGATCCCTGATCAGATCATTGACGACATTCATTTTAATCATTTTCTTACTCGGTAAAGTAAATAACATTTATATGTACTTTAAGGGGAAACTGTTTCAGTAAAGATGTGTTTGGTCCGTAATAACTGAATATATAAATAAACTGGGTTAATAATATGACATCAAGTAAGCCAGAATTGTGCGTGCAAATAACATGATTGAATAATCAAAAATCTGGGAGTATTAACCTTGATGACCTTGATTATTTGCATGCATATTCCTGGCGTACCAGATATCATATAAATGCTAAAATCCTATTCTGAAACACATTTGGATGAAACATATTTTGCTGAACCCTTTCTTAATAACTGTTTCTCTTTAGGCTAAATAAAATGACATATAAAAATAACGCATTTGGAACCTAACATTGTCAACTGTTATTTCTTTTGTAGCATATGCCACAAGACAGTGTACGGAAAATGGAACGTGGTTCATTCACAGCGAACATAACAAGACATGGACAAACTTCAGTGAATGCTACGTGGGTCATAGGATTCCTACAGAAAGTACATTTCGAGTGTCAAAGATTATCATTGTAAGTATTTGTAAATTCGAATATGCATTTTCAACAATTAAACAATAAGCGCTAGATCTGGAGGAAGTGTAAATATAAGTAGCATATAAGCTGCACAAACACTATTTTGGTCAGTTCTAGACAATACGTGCTTTTTAGTAGTGAATGTGACATCCACAAACATTTCTCGGAATCAAAATAATGTCAAGATGTGTTAAATGGCAATCATCATGATCTTACTTCTAAGACTGAATTAATCGACTTGTGCACGTTTCCCTCACATATCATTGTTCAATGTACGCAAAGAAATAATGAGTGAAGGTAGAAAACAGTTGAAAAGAAAGCAACTACGTGCATGTTACACCATGTGATTATATTGAAATTGTAAAATCATACTAAGCTACTGAACTAATCGTCAACGTACTTAAAATTATAAAAGGATGGGCAAAAACATTTTTATTGATTTTTCGATGGCAAAAATAAATCCATGGGGATTTCTGGATAACGGTTAAGAGACACTAGGGGACTGACTCTGTATCCAAGCCATCATTCACAGCAGCACCATGTGAGCCCAGTACCCAGGGTACTATTTTTTGCAAATGCATACTAGCCTCGACGTGTCCATCCATAATTAAATTACTGCGGTTCGACAACAATTTGCTACACATTCCTTAGAACAGACAATCACACACTTCATATAACATACAATCATTGATTGGACCACGATGAACCACGATGATTCAATAGTTGTATCCAATTGATTTGACAGGCTCGATTTGACAAACATCTTAAGCTAGTTAACCCACCGAATAAGGTTTCGTAGGAATAATGAGAAGCCGTACCTCCGTTCGGGTGGTTGATGATAACTCAAATACCTGTCATCGAATTGACATAACAAGGAATGACATGAGCCAGAAATATTCTAAAATTGAAACACTTTTTTGTTGGCCTGCTCACTATAATCGGATTCTCTCTTTAATATAGGCTAAAGCTTTATGACTATAGAGATTCTCCTGAATACGATATTTTCAAATTGGCCATTCAGTTCAAAATTTGTATTATAGCTTAGGTCGTCTTTACTAATTTGGTCCATATTGCCGATGATTTGCAATCTCTCCAAAATTTCACCCAAAATCAAATTTAAAACTGACATTTTAATATTACTAAATTCATCTATATAAAAACTTTTCTTGTTTTTGAAAAAAATTGAGAATCGGGTGGTTTTTTAAACATATCATCTTAATTCAAAATGGCCAGAATTTTTGGGCTTAAAGCTCGCGTTTAATGCCTTACTTCCAACGTTTGACTTATTTTAGAAAATTATTTAAAGGTTAACACTATGACTAAGGTCTATCAAACAACAAGAACGCATCGTTTGTTTTTATAGAATAATGGGTAATGACGCGCTATGGGAGTTCATCCCGATGTGTTTTTCAATTGATGGTAAGTTTATTCGCTGAAGTGAGGAATTAATTCAACTGTAACTTCTTCAAAGTTCATTGTTAGCCGAGTGATATATTAGTCTCTGGCTAATCTAAACACATAATCTGAATACATCATGCCTAATTTTGGTTGCACTCTCTTCCATAAGCTTGGTAACTGGGTGTTTTCATTTGATTGCATAATAAAGCCTTTGTTTGAATCTTCTCATTCTGGTCTGGTCCTTAATTACAATAGGAAAATGATTCTGATGATTTTTTAAATCGCTAACATAAACTTGGTTCGATAGCTAGGCGATCCAAAATCTGGTTGCCAAACTTATGCCTTGGTCACATTTGCTCCGATTTTCACTACGGCGCCCGGCCGATTGAGTATTTTGTTCAAAATTGAATACAATATTGAGCAAAACACTCAATCGGCCGGGCGCCGGCCGATGAATCAGAGCAAATGTCACCCAGGCATTATAGAGGAGAGTGTATGTTTCAGGGGTATCATTTTTGCTAAAATGAGCCACTCGGAAATGTCAAAGTGGGAGTCATTTTGCCACTATTTCTCTCTTAAATGTTCGATGCAATGTCTGAACAAATTTTTCACAATTCGGAAATTCCATCAAATGCATTTTTGCATGCTAATTCAAGACTTCTACTCTGATTTGCATATAGAAACTGATGTTTTTATATGTCATCCTGTCTTTAGCAGTCTATGAAGAAGGTTAATAGGATATCGTTAATCAGTGATTGTAATATAGCAGCAAACTCGATTTCCTTGTTGACATCCTTTAGCCTATTTATTTTGTCATGATTATCACAAATAAGACCCCCAGAGGGTACTTACCAAATACACAACTGGCAATTAAATAAATTATTAATTAGTGCAATTGATTCTTTGGAATTAAGCACAGTTTATCTCCGATAAGCCTAAAGTAAATGTTTTTAACATAAAATTCGAGGCACTTAATTATGATTTAAGAAGATTTAGGTCAATACCAAACTTTATGTAAACTTAGAATGAATTTATCAATTGAATGCTGTCATTGTTTATGTTTTTTATAAACAGATTACAACGTATTTTTTGTTAAATTAACTTGGCTTGTTTGACCAATATTTCTCTTTTGATTTATTATTTTGCTGTTTTGCTCGAGCTATTTCGATGTGAATCACTCTCTACATAAGAGTGCCAAAGGGAGAGGACCAAAATATGTAAAGAAACCTAGCGAGAAAATCGAACTCTGTAAACCGGTCATTAAAAGACAGACCATGTACATCCCAAACCATGATCTAACGTGAAAAGAAATTATGTCTAACCCCCCCCCCCCCCTCCCTTCTCCCTCTAATCGAGAGGCAATATCACAATCCTGGACAAGATCACCAATGACATTTCAATCAGACTAAAGTCATTACAACGAATGTTGAAGAGAAAAGTAAAAAATTGATAGCCAATACCCATGACATCAAAAACCGTTGTAGATACTAGTACTCATAAAAGATTCAGTATGATGTGGGATAGACAAAATTCAATTTCGAGGTCCACGGGTAATATGATGGTCATCATAGGAAAACTATAACTGGTTTCGATCCATATTTCTTAACCACTGATAAAATAAATTCGGGTTTCTCGCTATTTTGGGAGCTAACTTTTTGTCAAGAAAAATTGGTAGTCGTACAAACCCTATTATAGACCAGTGAATCAATTGTTCTAGTTATTGTGACATAACATATCCTACTTGCATTACGTAGCTGTGTGTAGTATAGTAGTCGCTGTTTGAATCAATTCACGACATCAATCATGGACATTATATTGAACGATACCCGATTCTTCAAAATAAAATAAATGGTACTTATTTTTGAAATAATTTTTTATACATATTTATTTTTTATTTCAGAGAAGAAAAAATAAGTTAAAGCAATTGCAAAAAAACAATTACAGCGATCAAATAATTTAATTTAGAATGAAACGTATATATCCGAACACCTCTCTCATCCAAAGACCTCTTAATGTGAACACTTTGATCAAATTATCTACGTTCAAAAGTTGTCCCACCTTCGCACATATCAAGCCCTGAAATATGACACCTGGTTAACCGATGGCAATGGCGTTCGGTTTAGATAGGTTTAACTGTAGCCCTATTAGGATTACAGATGTTATATTTATACATAGGCAATAACGCATGATAATTTTAGACAATTTATAAATTTTGTAGACAAGAAAGAAATGATTTTACCTTCACCCATTTTCTCTTTTGTTTGAATATTGACGGCGTTAAATGACTTAAACAAATTGAATTTATGAACGTGCCTTTTTCCATGGCAAGGATGACCAAATTCGATCATAGATCTATTTTCTTTAGAAACCAAGAACCAATTGACATTCTCTTGCCAGATACAAGATGACATAAACTACCCTAGGAGATGTTTACAGGACTGTACTGTCACTTGCCACTATTCGGTGATCGTTGATTATTATCTAGTCTCGATTAATGTCAAACACCTTGACATCTCATGATTCAAAAGGAGTATGCAGACAAAGTGATTGATCAATTTGCCGATCAATGTAAAAATAATGAATGAGAACGGTAATTGAGTGTTAAAGTATTGTAGGAAATATGTCGACATCGTATACGTGCGGACTGCAATAACGGCAATGACGTCACTTTGTTATTGTCTTCGTGACAGATATTATATATAGAGAGATACATTGATCGATATATTTGAACTTAATTTATTATTTCTTAGTTCGTAGTTATTCACTTATATTTAAATTGGCTGATTCGTTTGATTACTTTATGTTTTTTGAATCTTGTCATTATAAAGGTACTGTACCATTATAAATTACAAGTATATTAATGTTATCCTATATACATTTGTCGTTGCAGGACCACATAGACAAACTACAATTAATGTTATTCCTATATACATTGTTGCAGGACCACATAGACTAACTACAATTAATGTTTTTTCCTATATACGTTGTTACAGGACCACATAGACAAACTACAATTGATTTTATTCCTTTATTTGTTGTTACAGGACCACATAGACAAACTACAATTGATTTTATTCCTTTATTTGTTGTTACAGGACCACATAGACAAACTACAATTGATTTTATTCCTTTATTTGTTGGTACAGGACCACATAGACAAACTGCAATTAATGTTATTCCTATATACGTTGTTGCAGGACCACACAGACAAACTACAATTGATTTGCATTATGTAATTACTCTATCTATCGTTACAAGATCACATATAGATACTGAAAATGAGAATATATTTGTTGTTGTAGGACCACATAGACCGATTACAATTGATGTACAATACGGGTTATGGTCTCTCACTCGTGTCCCTTGTTATAGCTATCATAATCATGCTTTATTTCAAGTAAGTAAATGTGTAATGTGGATGTTAACAAATGTTATCGTTGCAATGGTCCAATCTCAAACTACATCAAACGATAACTTCACATACGAGACAACATGTGTGTAACGAATCAATCTAAAGACTAGTAATATGGCAATAAATGTAGTAATAATCATAGATTGCAACATTTAAAAATATTCAGCCAGCCTAATGACATGTATCTGTTTACATCAGCTAACGAGGATTGATGTATTAACAATCAAATTGATAACTGTCTCCATAAATGTCGTTTTATTGTTTAATTCATACTTATTTTAATAAAGTAGAAAATTAATAATGCATTTTTATGACGTTTACATAGCTGTACGATAATTTAATATGTCAACCAGTATTCTTTATATAACATTGGATCTAGGGTCCAATGTCCTCTGCATAGCATGGTTAAGTAGACAAGTGTTTGTAACCCCCGGCACACTCGTTTTATTCACCACATTTCGTCACGCATTACAAACTCATAGGTCAGAACTTTTTCATTGTATTCTAAAACACTTCAGAATCTGTAAGAATAGCATGTAATGTCACATATTCCTTTCATTGGAGGAATCTCCTTACAGATAAATAGAATATCTCAACCGAATAATCTACCAGAAGAATGAAGTGCAAATTCCTTTCATTTTAAGAAACTCTACAGTCAGAAACACAGAACATACCAAAATGGAACAAGAGAAATGAAATATATATGCCTGTCATTTCAGAAAACTCCATTGCCAGAGAAACACAGTACATATCAACTTGTTCCTATCATTTAGCCTAAGAGCTGCTGTGTCAATATTCAAAGACAATGCTATGGAAAACGGTGCCTTCTTTCCAAATGATTTTCATATCAACCCATATGGCAGACGTGTCTTCAACCCAAATATATCAGTATGTATAGCATAGTATCAATATATTACAATTCGTCACAATTGTCTATAAGGATGTTATTCAAGAAGATTAAAAGCTAAAATTTCATCTTGAATTGAATCGAAATAAATCAAAGTAAAAGTAGGATTGGCTTTTATAAAGTTGCATTTTAACTTAGATACACCTTTTTGGCAAACTATGGAAATGCATGTTGGGCCCCTCCCCAAGCATCCACAATGAATATTGTTTTGAAATTTCCGAATCAGTAAAAGATAAGCTATATGCCCATTCACGTGCTTTTGAAAATAAATTATTTGTATATTCATAAACATGGCATAACGCAAGGATATTATCTTATGTGTAGTGATATATTTCATTTCAGCACTGGGAATGTAAACTGCTGTTCTCCATCCTGCATTATTCATTGGCAGCGAACTATATGTGGATCTTTGTCGAGGCTCTTTACCTCCACATGCTTATATTTGTCAGTGTCTTTTCTGACAGGCATGGTATCAAGTGGTACGTCGTCATCGGATGGTGTAAGTTTTTAATCTTTAGCTATAGCACATTTTAGCATATTTTGAGAATACCGAAAGTGATGTTTCCTACGTCCGATGATCCGACCATGATTAAGAATTTATTCAATATTGAAGCAAATGTCAGAGTTTTCCTCCGAGGGTATCTCTCAGACGCTTGTTTAAGTGTGGGATAAGTATTTTCATGGGCTTTCAATTAGAGTTGAAAGCCCATGGTATTTTCAAGCTGGCAAAGTACTATTTTAAACTGAAGATGTTTCTTTAACACTTTTAATTATTGGACGTTATTACACGAATGATATGGAGATCAACTAATAAATACTTAATTGTTCCATTTTTCATTTTAGTATCCCCCTTGCTGTTTGTAGTACCCTGGATAATTGTTCGTGCCACATTAGACAACACATTGTAAGTACGGTTAAGTCAGGTGTAGAAATAGGTCGGGTTCTAACCAAATATATGACCCTCACTCCATCAATTCCCAAAACGCCCTTTAGCACAACTCTTTCTTATGTAAGCAAGCATGCATAATGCAATTGTAAAAATGTTTCTAGCACCAAAGGAAATTAATCTTTATATGTACGTTAATTGAGTGTAAGATAATTAAAGATTCATTTGAACTTACAGATACACACAGTGTGTTTATGCCCACGTATATCAGATGGGCGTAAAAAATGGGCCGCACTTTGATGTTATCTATTCTTGCTCCAATATCCTTTGCTCAAACCCTCTCAAACTTTAGACATTTAAATGGCATGACGTTCGTTGTTAATATGGTTCTCAAGGTCATAGCTTGATTAATCTGTACACAGGATTAAAATATAAATAACATTGCCTCAAAAACGCACGTCCCGGTGATCATATTGCATTACCTGTTAGGTGAGTGAAGCGTGCGCTACACCCGTGTGATACATAGTAATCAAATGTTGTCTAGAAAAAAATTAAAAAATTATCTGGATGTATGTTAGGGATAAAGATTACCCCCCTATCACACCAAACTCGTTCTTACCCGTTCTTGCCAGTCCTAAGAAAACGTCGTAAAACGGGCTCAAACTGGCTGTGGTCGGGAAATATGTCTGAAATAATTAGCTTCTTCGTTCTTAAACAGTCTTCAATACGTCCATCTCGTTCGCAGTTCGTTCAGGTCGCACCACGTCGGTGTGCAACGCCGTAGAACGCGTCCCTTAGTCTAGAAGGTCATCATGACCTGATGACAGAACGGTATGGTCGCAATCGAATTTTGAATCGATTCAAAATTCTAAAATCACATTCCCGTCTGAGAACGTTCATAAAGTTCGTAAATAGACCTTAGAAAGTTGCAGCTACGTTCATTCCGTTCGCACACAGTTTAGAACCAGTTTTGAAGAACGCAGTGGCAACTTGTTTGGTGTGATAGCTATATTTTTGCTAACTCGTTCATAAGCAGTGTTAAATACGTTCTTAATCAGTTTAAACCCGTTTGCAATGAGTTCTACCTCGTTCTCAACACGTCCTCAGACAGTTCCACTCGTTGTTAAAACGTCCCTAGTAGGATTGAAGTACGACGGTTCCGTTCGTAGTAGGTCCAGCTCGTCGTTAGTACGTTGTCACTCGTTCTAATTGTAGAACGTGACGACCACGAAAACATTTTGAGCATTGTCTAAGTTCTAGAGGACCTACCCGTTCAAGTACGTTCGATGAAGTTTGTAAATAGATCCCAAACGGTTCTTAGTACGTCCAGTCCGTTCGTACACAGTTGAAGCCCGTTTTCGAGAACGTAGTGAGAACTAGTTTGGTGTGATAGTAGGGTTAGGAAAAATATTTAAATGGCCAATGATCCAATTTTAGGAAAATCCGTTTCTTTTGTATCAACTGAGGTATGCTTTTTGAGAAGTGAGTGGGTGTGATTACATGTAGTTCAGCTTTAGTGTATTGCATTTAACAAGCATTAACAGTTTTGATTTCTTTTGATCAACAATTTGATTTCTTTTTGTGTTTACTATTCAACTATTGAAAGAGTGAATAGGGTATAATTAGTTCCGCTTCAGTGCGCTGTATGTGACAGTCAATCGTCTTTTGTGCCACACTGGTTTTGGCTAATTCTAATGCCAAGTGTACATTCTTTAAAACAATAGAAAAATAATTCACTCCTCTTTGAAATAACCGGCTATTCTTAAGAATAAAAAAGGGTTCATTCTATTGTGTTGCTACCTAAGTGTGGTTTGAATGAATCGAGATAGTTTCTCTTCGGCGGACAAGGAATTGATCGCAACATGTTTCAATGAATAGGGTTGGAGATAAAAGTTCTGGTAGATTCTGTAGGAAGGAATTCGAAACCGTCTAATAGATGACCAAAAACTATTTGCTCCCAAAGAACGATCATGTGAATACGGATTTTAAGAAGGGTTGAAACAGTTTGACGGAATAGAAAAACAACATTCTGCAGAAACAAATCCATTTTAGATTATGTGCAAAAGACAGATGATCACGTTTACTGCAAACGCAAGCAGGCCATTCTTGATAAGGTTCATCTTAACGAGAAGATTCAGGACTCAATCAGTTCATGGAAAAAACGTTTGCGTACTATCCACCGAGAAGATGGAGGACGAATTGACCACATTTTCGAGTGAAACTCGAAAAGCCATTTTGAAATGTCCAGAACATGCGTTATTTCGATTTTTGTCACATGAACAGAAATATAAGGGGTTTATTTGAAATCTGTCCTACATTGTAAGGACACGATGGCCTTTGAATGTGTGAAAGTTTAGAAGCGAGGTTTGGTTATATGAAATATCAAAGTACGACCCATTTTTTATGCCCACCCGATTATATAATATCATTCTTTGGTTTAATGACAATTTAGACCACGCTATATAATGTGTAGTGCAAATATGAACCACTATATATACTTTTCTTTATAGTACGAGTATATTATATTTGCTATTATTTAAGCTTATACCTCGTGTACTTCATTCAACCCTTTCTTTTGTAGCTGTTGGAATACTCACCCACAACCAAATTACTTCTGGATCACTAAAACACCAATACTTATTACAATACTTGTGAGTAAATACGTCATAAATAGATATAGAAATCAAAATACTTTGTAAATACTTATTACAATACTTGTGAGTAAATACGTCATGAATAGATATAGAAATTGAAATAATTTGTAAATAATAGCCTATTGATATCAAATACTTATCTCAATACATATGACTGTATTTTACTCAAAGACAGGAGTTAGCATCTAAAAAAGATGTCATGTCTCGTAGAGTTTGGAATACATTTTCTTTAAATCCAAACTAATTGTACTGCTGCCATCTATATACTGGTATAATGAAATTTCGAATAGGAAACATTACAAATCTCAATATAAAAGGGAATACTACATGGCAATACAAAACACTGGTTGAGCAAAACTAGACTCCTTGCGAAGTTCAACCTATATATCATAACAAATGTACAATAATAATTTCTCCATTGCTTACAGGTAAATTTCCTCTTGTTCCTTAACATTGTACGAGTATTATTCACAAAGATGAACACCCCTTCGAGCACACCTGAGGCAAGACGCTACAGGTACAGGTATGTATCGGGATACTTCAGTAAATAAGTGCAAATCATGTAATAAATACATATGTAAAGGTAAAATGTATATATTTTTAGTGAGGCTTAAATAATATATTAAAATGGCCATGTAATCTTTGCGAGTATATAATGAGTCTGTGGGGATATATCGTGAAATACTAATATGCCATAAAATATGTAACACGAGAGGGATCATATGAAGCTTTTTAAGTAAAGATCGAACTTTGCATGAGCTACGTTTTTTCCAAAACTGATATATAGTTGTATTTTGTGCACCGGCTGATAGTAATCGGATAAGTACATATATTTATTGTGAATGGGTTTTGGGTTTCATTATTGAGTGGAAAATCTACTAAAATCACAATTGGATATTTTATGAAAATATATGTATATCATGTAGTCTAGAGTCTAAAGTAAAAAAGTTGGTTCAAAATATCATTGAAGGATTATAGCAGATTAACCCACTCGTAAGCTGTGATGCAAATTTTATTTTGTTTTTTAATTTAGTTCTAATTTATGTAGATATATTTGAATCACTTATTCATTAATATTCTGATCTAATTTCAAACCACTGTAGTGATATTTTGTTGGGTTTGTAATATTTTTATTTCATTTGTCACATTATATTTTGTTGTACATATTGTTGTGAATCCAATGTAAATTCACCTATTTGTCATTCATAAACAAAATCATGATTTATTAAAATAAAATAAAATTAATAATTTCCCTATAATATGATTGGGTATTCTGACACTTTGTCAAAATTACATGCATTACATTAATAAGATGATTTTAATTTTACATACAATTGCAGTTTTTTACCCTGAAAAAATAATATCTCTTTGGGGTTCTGTGTCACAATTATGATTTATATAACTTTACAATGTGTAGTCGTAGAGCACGTTGCTTACTCTGTTTGATTTTCGTGAGGGAACATGTGACTTTTTTAAATAGGCGATAACTATATAATATTTGATGTAGCCAATGATTGTAAGAAATTATCGCTGCAAATTTATCATTTAAAAACACAATTCTCACGTGCTTCGACTTTGTTCATGCCTAAGAAATATTAAAGCCCCTCGCTATAGTACATATGACTCACTTAAAGGAAGTAAAATGGATAGAGATTAGAAACGATTTGACGGTAAAATTCGGGAAAAATTGTACAATTTTACAATATTTAATGTTCAATATCATGCCTATTTTCTTAAAAAGTCAGGTTGAACCTCGGAGCTTCAGGTTATTTGACAAAATATTGAAACCCGATCATGATAACGATCTCGACCACGCCGTTATCAAGACAACATCCCCCGATATGGTGATGAAAGTGAAAATACTCTCTTTTTCAATGTTAGTGAAATTGGACATTTCGAAAGATTTTGTAATTTCTACATTTGATCAGACTTCTCAATTTTCAGAAAACAAAGTCAGTATTCCAAGAGAACCATTGGCATGTTATTTCCTTTCGCGTACTCTCTAACCATACTTCCTTTAATTTCGAATATCCCTTATTAAAAAATCTAGTTGACAATTCGAAATCAGCCAAGTGTTATATTTTGTAGAAAACTTGGAAAATCCACACTCGTGTTGGTTCCTCTGTTTGGTGTCCATTATATCATATTTGTAGCAGTCCCGGATGAAATAGGGAAACATTCAGATGATAATAACTTCGAGATAGGGAGACTATACTTTGAGATGTTCTTTAATTCATTTCAGGTAAGGAGTGGTGTAAATATTTCGGGTGTCTACAAAACTAAGACCTAAGACCTACAAAACTAAGACCCCCCACGTAATAAAACTAAGACCCTGTTATAAAACTAAGACCCACCACGTTATAAAACTAAGACCCTGTTATAAAACTAAGACCCCCCCCACGTAATAAAACTAAAACCCTGTTATAAAACTAAGACCCCCCACGTAATAAAACTAAGACCCTGTTATAAAACTAAGACCCCCACGTAATAAAACTAAGACCCTGTTATAAAACTAAGACCCCCCACGTTATAAAACTAAGTCCCTGTTATAAAACTAAGACCCCCCACGTAATAAAACTAAGACCCTGTTATAAAACTAAGACCCCCCACGTTATAAAACTAAGACCCTGTTATAAAACTAAGACCCCCCACGTAATAAAACTAAGACCTCCCACGTTATAAAACTAAGACCCTGTTATAAGAATCAGACACCGTGCCTTGCTCTGCTCGCCACAAGGTAGTCTTGCCTCTGGGCCTTGTGTTCCCCAGTAACATACAGATTCTACAAAAGATAGTCTTGCTTCTGGTCCTTGTGTTCCCTTCTAATATGCAGATTCTCCCCACTAACATAAAGATTCTACAAAAGGTAGTCTTGCTATTGGTCCTTGTGTTCCCTTCTAATATACAGATTCTCCCCACTAACATAAAGATTCTACAAAAGGTAGTCTTGCTTATGGTCCTTGTGTTCCCTTCTCACATACAGAATCTACACATGGTAGTCTTGCCTCTGGCCCTTGTTTACCCTAGTAACATACACATATGGTAGTCTTGCCACTGACCCTTGTTTTCCCTAGTAACATACACATATACATAAGGTAGTCTTGCCTCTGACCCTTGTTTTCCCTAGTAACATACACATATACATAATTTTAAGGTAGTTTCGGCTCTATCCCTCGAGTTTTATAACAGGGTCTTAGTTTTATAACGTGGGGGGTCTTAGTTTTATAACAGGGTCTTAGTTTTATAACGTGGGGGTCTTAGTTTTATAACGTGGGGGTCTTAGTTTTATAACAGGGTCTTAGTTTTATTACGTGGGGGTCTTAGTTTTATAACAGGGTCTTAGTTTTATAACGTGGGGGGTCTTAGTTTTATAACAGGGTCTTAGTTTTATTACGTGGGGGGTCTTAGTTTTATAACAGGGTCTTAGTTTTATTACGTGGGGGGTCTTAGTTTTATAACAGGGTCTTAGTTTTGTAGGTCTTAGGTCTTACGTCTTAGTTTTGTAGGCACCCAAATATTTCTGATTATATAGTTAATTATGGATAAGAGAGCACAAATAATACGAGTTATGAATTATTTTGTAATTATGGTTAACACCATGATTAACGTTTTCACAATCTTGTCCACGACGTTAAATGATAAAGTTGGAAATTGATAATTTGTTCAAATCACGTATTAACGTTATTATCAAAAACTTGTGTGGGGTACTATATTCAAGCAGCTATATGACTATCGTTATATATACTAATGTTAATACAGTTGTATCTCCTATTTGAATAAAGCTATAATGAAAAATATTACCTGCAAATGGTAGTATTTTGTTTTCATTGACTAAAATAATTCTAAACATTTTAGGGGTTTATTGTTGCCATTTTGTACTGCTTCTGTAACGGCGAAGTCCAAGCAGAGATCCGAAAAACCTGGCAAAGGTATCGCCTCATGCGGGGTGGAGGGTCACTTCATTGTAGCACAAGTCGTGGAGCACCATCACGCTACGACACTCAGACATCTGTCATGACAAGAAACAATAGAAATTCCACATACTCAATAGGTTCAGAAAAACTTGAAAATGGTCAAAATGGATCAACAAAGAACGAATCTCCGTCGAATAAAAAGAAGGGGCCTTTTTCTTTTCTTAAAAATGGTAGTCCACCGAAGGGAAAATCTACAAATGGCGCATCAACTCTGATTAGTAAGATTCCTACGGACACTACTAAATGCGAGACAGAATCGTTAATGAAGACCGAAAGTGTACTTTAACAAAACAAATATTGAAACATGACGTTTAAGTGCTATCTGGATGACAATCATTATTATTATTAGGAAGGGACCAGAAAATGTATTCTTCTGAAAAGAAAACAATTAATTCCAATGTATCATCAAGTCTTTTGGCGACCATAAGCATGTGTTATATGGGATTAACATTTTACATATTGATAGAGAACTCACTTAAAGAATATATTTTGTATGAAATGTTTACCTCTATACGTAAATTACTTGTATAAATACATGTATGTACATAATATTTAATACGTACTGATAAACATCTTTTGACCGTCTCAAGTGTATCTGGCAAAATCACTAAACAGAAACTTACATTTTACAGCATTTTACTTTGTATTACTTCATATTGAGGCGTACCATTAAACAATAGAAAAATGATGAGATATATACATGATCCAAAATATTAGATTTTATCAATCCATATTGGACAACATGTAGTACATTCTACAAAGCTCGTATTCACAACATAAATCAAAATAAATTATTGTATTGTATTCGGATAGATATTATCGCATCGAAGTGCAATGAAACAACGTGTATTTATAAGATCTGTGATATAAACGTTCCTCTACTCTAGTCTTTTATTAAGTAGAATAGTTTAGATGTAAACTATGAGTTGAACAGTAAACTATATATAGTTTGTATATTGTGTACATATAATGTAAATATAGTCATAAATAAATACGATTAAAATATCATTTCATACATTAGAGTTAATTTTGTATATGATTGATAGTCAAATTTACACTAGTTTGGACATTTATACTCAGGACAATTTTTAAACATAAAGACACTCAGAGCTGACCTTTGCCTACGCTTTTAAAGGTTTGAGCAACACGATGCGACATATAATATAAACATTGGTAGACTAAGAATGGAGCCCTGTTAACGCCTTTATATTGACAAAGTATTGGGTTGAGTATATCTTTAAAAAAACCTACGTGACGTGAACACGTTAATATAGGAATCAGATCCAAAATATTAAAACTACTTAAACCTCTTCCCAACGTTGCACCACGGCCTTGTAGCTTTACATATGATACCAGATTTCAAGTAAACCTATGTGTGTAAAATGTACAGGGTGACCGGAAAAAAGGAGACCATTGAAATAGGCAATATCTCCTAAAATAGACTAGTGACATCAATGAAATTTTGCATACATCAGGACAGTTCTATGGAAATTTGTTCCTGAAAGTGTCAATACAAGCAGTCAACTGGTTCAGGAGCTATGATCATTTACATAACATGCTCCAAATAGGCGCAATTGAGACCAACGCAGAGCTGGATACATTTGGCAAATACCCTTACATATTCCGACCTTGTTATGGCATTACATTTAGCATTTATTGCCACCTTTAGGTCAGCAATTGTCTCAGGATTGTTTTGGTACACATTGTCTTTCAAATTGCCCCACAAAAAGAAATCAGGTGGATTCAAATTTGAGGTGTATGGAGACGAAGCTTATCTGACCTATGGCTTCTGACTCAGTGGTCCCACTCAGTTACAGTATCATCCTAAGGAGGTTTGGGGCAGCCCTTGGTTTTCATATGGGATTTAATTGTGCCATATAGTGGTTTTAGTAACATGGCACTATGCCCAATACCTAAAGTGACTCTTAAGATTTGGTAAATCAGCACTTTGGCAACAGGATGATGAACCACATGTCAGATAACCCTTCATTGCCATTACAGCCTAGACTTGAATCCTGCTGATTTCTTTTTGTATGGATATTTGAAAGACAATCTATACCAAAACAATCCTCAGACTATTGTTGACCTAAAGAAGGCAATCACTGCTATATGTAATGCCATAATAATGCCATAGAGGGCAGAACATGTAAGGGTAGTTTGCCATATGAATCCAACTCTGCGTTGGTCTCAATTGTGCCTATTTGGAGCATGTTATGTAAATGATCATAGCTCCTGAACCAGTTGAATGCTTGTATTGAAACCTTCAGTAACAAATTTCCATATAACTGTTCCAGTGTATGCAAAATTTCATTGATGGCACTTGTCTAGTTTAGGAGAAATTGAATACTTCAATGGTCTCCTTTTTTTCCGGTCACCCTTGTATATCAGTATTGAACATATCTTATGAAACATCAATACACATGTTCTGGAATTTCGAAATAACATTCGATTTATAATTGGATTTTTTCGACTGACAACTAGGATACACGGCACACATTTTAGAAAATGAGGAACAGAAATCAGCAAGGTCATAATGAAAATTGGTTCAACTCTAATAAAAATGTAAACGATTACCTATCATAATTGTCAGATCGACTGAAATCATATTTGATTGATGGGCATTTTTACATTCCATGTTTCGGATGGTTTACCTCCTTTATTAATATATTTCGAAACCGGAAGTTCAAGTTGGATAGCGTTTTGTTTACATTTGAACCATCATTCTCTTCTTCGAATAACGCTCGTAATAAACTACTAAAACCATGGGCTTTCAACTGAAAGCCCATGCTAAAACACATGGTCTTGTTGCACATGGACTGGGATACACAATGGCAGTCTCTTATTTTTTTCAATCAGAATTGTCCGTTGCAAAAATGGTGATCCGATGGGTATAAGAATGGAGTGTTAGAGAGGGTTGTGAATCATGATGTAGTTGTTAGTTTTACAGCTGCATCAATTTGTGACTGACTTTTTCTTGTTAAAACGAATAAATACTGGAAAAGTGAAAGTGTATTGATAACATTATTTATAATTAAATTATGATTATATTACTCATGTCAGCTAACTTAAATGTAGGAAGCATCACAGGTTTCTCCACTGCGTGTTTAGCAGCTTAAAGACCCACTATACCTAATTTAGAAGAAATCTTTTTAAAGAAATGATAATTGAAACATTTTAATATTACTCACACACTAGCTCAAATATGACACAACGTTTGATTTTCTTTAATATTGAACCAAGGAAAAAATAACTCACATAGATTTTGAAGTTCAGAGATCATTAGACATGCATGTACATGTTAAACAAAGTACATGTTTTAAATTACTGGAGATTTTAAAGATGGCGACACTTCTATAAAAATGAATGTATTTTATAATACAAACAACTTTGCCATCTTTCAATGACATTGATAAAAACTTGATATATAAATCTTGACAGATCGAAAACATTTTTTGATAATTTATTGTAAGCTTTGATGTGGTCCGTTTGAGCTGTTGTTTGACATTGGACATACTATGGAATTCAAATGTTAGTCTTTATTTTGACCTACAACGTTGAAAATACACAAAGTGGGCCTTTAAACATGGTCATGTGTACATATCTAGATTACAAACCAGCTAGATTAAAGATCTGTGATTAACATAGGTATTGACGCAAGAAATTAGACAACATAAAAGTTGTTCTTTAATCAGTAGTAGTAATGTATATATTTACAATCTTTGCAGCATCAATCGATTCTTAGATCTGGTTGGACTCGACTTTACTTAACTTCTTGATTTATATTGTCTACTTTTATGTGAAAATTGGAATGAAAATGAATGATTGAGGAAATTCAGTTTTCCAAGATTCAGATAAATAGATTTATCCCACCCTAAGTGCTTTATATGATTGTATAATAGCATTGTATAACTGCAATATATAACAAACACTCATCGTATACAACTCTTGAGAACGATATACAACTCCTGGATAGCGTATACAACTCCTGGGCAGCGCATACAACTCTTCGACTTGATATACAACTGAAGAATTTAGATTAACCTTTTATTGATTAAAGATTAGGGTGGGATAATAAGATCATATAATGGTTGATTCTGTATATCGCTATACTCTCGTGAGTAATATTATTTATCCCATGTTTGCAAGGATATAGATCGAATATCACAAGAAGATATATTTGATATGTGGATCAAGATATCATATTTTAGCAAAAAATTCACAAAACATCGAATATCACTTTTAAACTATCGAATATCACGTCTTAAAAAGTGATATTCGATGGGTTGAAAAGTGATATTCGATGGTTTTTCGATGAATTTTTTCAAAAAATATTTCCTATTACATTTTTTAATTATTTTCAAATTTTTTTTTTTTCAATTCAAAATTTCCAAAAAAAATTTCAACATTTTTTCACAATTTTTTTCAATTATTTTTTCAAATTTTTTCTCAAATCATATTTTTCACATTTTTTCGCTGATGATGATTTCCCATGGGATAAACGGACAATCCTATGGTTTTTCAAAAATATCAATTATATCCACTCGAACGTCAGTTTAGCCATTTAGCTGGTTGGGGAAATGCATCGACTCTCCACAATCAAGATCACATGATATCATTGACCCCGTGAAACTTCCGGTGCAACTGGATCTATTACATACCCCTCGATTTGGACAATTTGTTCTGGATCAAATTTGGATTCAGCAATTATTGGATTCATGTGCATAATGAACTTCAGGGTATTATCCCCAGACGAATCAGAACCAGCTAATTTTTGCCTCTACCAAACATTTATTCTACACGTATAACATGTTAAATCAAAATTAAGTAAAAATAAAATACAAATATATAAAAGAATAAATAAAGTTAACTTTGTTAAAATTTCATTTAAATACATATCGTAGCAGGCATCATATATTTATCTTCTGAATAATTTTTTCTTGAAAACTAGTAACTAAATAAAGATCTCAAATTACTTTATATTGCCTAATGGGAGTTTTTCTCTTCTGCGCCCTTTCACATATTTACTAACAATTTTTATGGCGAAGCTGAAATATATATATTTATATTCCAGACGTAGAGTAACGGTGCGTTGTATTACATTATATTGTAATTATATTATGTTGTCTTGTATTCCGGGTATTACAAATGAAGGTGAGCATTTACCCGCCCTCATATTTTCAGTCTTTTTAAATATTGATTTTAATATTTGAGGCACAACCAGGAACTCTTTGATAGACATATACGAATACACCGTATCGTCTTTTGTAAGAGTTGTGAAACGCTTACTTAAACACTCAGAATTTGGAATTTGTCATTGTAACGTGCCAAACAATTTCCTGAACTGAGGATCGAACCAGGGACATATACGTCATTGGAAAGCTACTCATCTGCAGATATACGTTATACGGAAAGACGGGTGAAAGAATATTCCATTGACTTGAGAATTATACGTTCCAAATGTAGCATATCGTCGAAATAAAAACTGATGTATAATGAATAACTGACAAATACAACGTACCGTAATTACTCGTCTACCTATTCCTTGAGGAATTAAAAGTCACGCTGAATTGTCAACTGACTGAATACAAAGTATTGATGGAATGAATACAGTATGGGAATGCATTGGAATCTTGATTTTCAAAGATTCCTCAAATTTATCATCAATTTTCGACCTATTGTATCGAGGAAAAAATTGGGAAAGTTTGAAGGCACTGAAAATGAAGTCAAGCTACATTCCCATCAATTATAAATATTTTCTTCAAGGGTTATGTAAATAAAAAATCAAACATAAAGAGGCTTTGACACGTAGTTCAATGAGGGAGCTAAGGTTGCCAAACCTATGGAGGGGAGTGTATGCTATGCAGTGAAAAATTGTATTTTTTCTTGATTCACTTTCTGTTAGCAGAGGGCTTACAGAACAACCGCTAAATATTTACAGAATACACAATTCCACTAATATCCTACTAAAATGCAGAATTAAGGAGAAATTGATGTCAGATATTTCTTCAGCTTCAAGTCTGAAAATCGAGATCTATATTTCACGGTGTCCAATCCAAACGCTCTTACATGCACGACGGAGCGTTTCATTTACGCGAAAACGCTGCGGAGCAAAATAAAATGGCGGCTAATGAAGATTCCACTATCACCGTAAGTATTGTTTCACTCGTCTCTCTTACATATCATACGTTATGGTGACATATTCTGTACCATTCGATGAACAATACCGTGAGCAAAGATCTTATTTATTCAACTTCTGGTGGTAAACTGTTATTTGCTTGATCAAAGCTCCGTAGTGTAGATCAAACGAATATGAAGTTGACGAATTGACCACAAATTACGAATTAAACTAGTATTTATATGAAAACGTCAATCTTTCTGTCAAAGTAGTAGACCACAAACGCGTATATTTTCATTTCCTAAAATCCAAGTCCAAATCCATTTACTTGTTCTCGAGAAATCGCTTGTTTTCCTCGAAACGCTCCGTCGATTTAGGACACAATTTTAGAAACGCTCTTACCATTTTGTTTTGATATCATTTTCAGATTATTAGAGAAGAGTTCGGAATCGAATCTATCTCTCAAAAACGTGTTGTACTTGTTAGGCAAATTGAAACTTCCGAACCTGGTGGTGCTAAATGTGCAACTAGCTGACTTAAGCCTAGATTAGATGATGTCATGCCTACATGTGTGCTAAAACATAAAACTATTGAAAAAGACCGAAAAGTTTATTTGTGAATTAATCTTTCTTCTTTTGATGTCAAGGGGTATAATACATGTAGATCTTTTCTTTCTCTTCCTGAAGAGGAAAGTAAAGCTATATATTTCCTAAACAGATCTAGACTACCGCAGCGTTTCCAGTTAACTGTGTTAACCAGATCGCAACGTTTCTTGAATATGAGAATGTCATCATTTTTAAGACTGGATTTTCGGTCATCAAATCACTATTACGATAATGTATGGTGCGTTGAAGCATTGAAATTTGACCAAAATATACGTTGGTGCTCTAATCTTGGCTCAACTAATCACATGTCGCGACAAAAGGGGTTTTGACCGGTAGAATGACAAATACGTTTTTGAATTTTGATAACTATACTGCTTCGTACAGCTCTTCCTAATTGTTTCAAACGTCAACAGCCAGCCAAGTACAACATGAATATCACACCCATCGAATGGTATACTCGAAATAAGTAACTCATACCTCTTATTCCCATTATTGGGGAAATCGTCAGACGTCTCATCATTCCCACCCGCTAGTTGTCCTACTCCGGAGCGTTTCTTTGTTTAGTTTCAGTAATGAAACGCTCCGTCGTGCATGTAAGAGCGTTTGGGTTGGACACCGTGTATTTGTTTTTTATTTTATTATATTTGTCGGTGAAATCGGGACCAGATGTTTAGCAAGTATTTTTATGATTTTGATATCCAAATCGGAATACTATCTTTAAAACGCTAGAGTCAGAAAATACGCTTATTAATATTTATTCGTCTGTAGAATCTTCTAAGACCTGGGGATTTATTAAGTTATGGTGTTATTCATGTTCAAATGTTGCCCAATTGATATAACAAAAGCCTTGACTCGCGTGTCTAACAGAGAAAAAACCCAGAAGATTGCTTTATGAAGAAAATTGATTGCGACATCAATGGGTATATCTGAAATCATTGCAGATACGGAGGAGAACCTACGATATCACATAGGTCTGATAATTACACCATTTTTTATCGACCCATACGCTGATACCTATAATTGATCAATGTAAGAAAACACATCCAAACAGCCTAGTCGGGTGCAAAACAACACTTCATTCTTGAAACTACAAATTAGAAACAACATCCACCAGAAATGGAGGCGCTACTTTATGTATGTTTTGGGATGATATTGATGGTAGGCTTTGCAATGTCTGAGACTCCATATAGAATGTGTGACTTGCCAACAACTGTACGGATAGAGCACCCACATGCACAGACCAGCAAAGCACCTTACAGAATATATGTTAAGGAACCGCAATATTACCCAGACAGCATATTATCGTGTAAGTATTTTTAGTTTTAAGAATTGAATTTTCAAAAAAAAAATTTAATTTAATGAGAATTATAGTTCTTTATAGAGGTAATTCAGTAAGCAATCTTATCTGGAGACTTAAAGGAACCAATTCAAATTTTGGAGAAAAAGTTTTTAAATTTCTTTTTCAAATTCAATGATCTAGTTAACAACTATTTTAAGCTTTAATGGATCCACATGTTTAAACTTTCACTTGATTTCAAGATTGCAATATTCGATGGGTGAAAATAGAAGATATAACTTTTGTCACGTAACTAGATTATATATTTGGTCAATTCTTTCTGACCAACTATGCATGCAGGTACAAATTATCATATTTGCAAATCCAATTAGGTACAGTATCAAATGAAAATTACAATTCACTTCTTCATCTTGTGTTGTCAGGCACAAAATTAAATCAATCACATATGGATTGACTGCCGTAATATCTCATACATGCCAATTCCATAGTAAATAGAAAATAGATTACTATTTAACCTATTTACGAAACCATTTTCGTCAATTTGTCAGACTACGGTCTTAATCAAGCGACCCACATCCGTGAATGTCCTATCAGAACTGCGTCTCCAACGGCTCGAATAACTAGTCGAATAAATATTAAATCATATCCTGGGAACGTATTCAAAAATAGTATTTTGTAGCATCATCCCACCCCCGCCTCACCCCCGTTTTCTAAGAAGGAAAAGACCAAAGGAATACAATAAGCGTGTTGAGACAGGGAAGACTAGCCCAAAAGACATATTTTCTCAAGCGGGTGCTGAGTGTTGCTAGAACCAAACAACAACAAAAAGCGTATTTTTCAATTATTAAATAGAAAGGTGCGTAATCTACTAAGTGCATGTAGCTACAGTTTAAAGCAAATCAGCAGGTAGCTATAACACTTGCTTTAAGCAAGAAGGTTCAGTTAACATTATGATGATATATGGGGGAATAACGAACGTGATATTCCCAAATGATGAGAATCGCCCGGTGTTATAGATAGTTCATCAATCAGTATCTGAAGCTCTTGAAGAGGCGTCTAAACGACTCTAGATAAATTATCGACAGGCCGGGGTGGTGCTAGAACTAATTTGTGAGCTGTCAATTATTTTTCTCTGAATTATTGTCCCAAAGGATTGGAATCTTATGGCCATTTTTAAGAACAAGCAAATAAGAAAACTAGTTGTTCTGGGTTCATTGTTCTGTTACGCCGTAAAGCAGCCAAAAATATATAAAGTGATCGCATACGAAACATGGAATAAACAGGTCACGGGATACCCAGTCCCTGGTCCTATTAACACGCGGACTTCCATCAAATCTTAAGCTGTTGAAATCGTTCATATATAGATACAGCGAAAGCCACCGAATCAGTCTTATAATGTAAACAAACCGACTAATATGGGTATCATCGGTGGGCTACCAGCTCCTTTATGACACAGCCGGTGATCGTACAAAATGGATGGAGGGGGAGTAGGCGATTTCTGCAAGAAAACTCAACAAAGGATTGGTATCGATATGGAGAAGTGAATTCAACAATGTTTTTCTCTTAAACCAATTACTGAAAACATCCTTTGAAAAAACACGGTCCTTTGTGTGATGTTAACTGATTGACAACAATTTAATGCGAAAATAATTTTTTATATTTTATATAACTGTTTTTGTTAACATTTCTTGTTTTTTAGTGCAATTGTTTTTTGTTCCTTTTTACCATTTCTTGAGAATGAAATAAAATATCTTTCCGAAGCTTGTTTTTATCAAACTAGCAACATTTTCTTAGATTTCCCAACATTATAGTTGTACAAAGGACATTTTGGTTGATTTAACAAAAAGTATTCAAAAAATTAAAACAAAAACCCCGAAATAGATAAAAACTAAGACAAACCTTTAATTTCATTAACACGATACTTTTTTTAAATCAACCAAGCTTTCCTTTGTATAATAAGTGACAATATTGAGAGACCTAAACACAACTTGTTTATGTCGTTTTTTCAATGAGGTTCGGATAGATGTTTCATTTCATTCCGAACATATGATATCAAGAACAAAAGAAGTGTCCAATATGTTTTCTAAAACAATATAGAGAAAAGTAAATATATCTTTTTCAAATTATATAGTTACCATTCAAAAGATGACCATTAAATTGACAATGTGTAAAATTTTCAGAATTTTTTAATGACTGGTTTAAGAGAAACGTGTGTTCAAAAAGTTCGCCATATTGATACCCATCCTTTGGAAGATTTATTTTTTCAAGAGAAAATTCACAACTGAATTGCCTAATGAATAGGCGCAGTGCATTGCAAAATATGTTAGGTCTTCTAGTATTTCTTTTTGAACTGATACGCTTCTAAGACATGAGCTCTATTTAAAAAGGCGCATCATCACCCACGTGCAAAAGTCAATATTTTTGCTATAAATCAGGCAACAATGGTCTACACGACCTGTAATAAATAGGTATAAGGGACGTTATTATCACAACACTAATGACATTGCTCACTTTTTTTAAAGTTAGTTTCCATGCGTTATCCAAAAAATAATCGAAATAAATTAATATTGGATGGAGGGGGGATTAACGTGTATATAAGACATGACAAGCTACTTGAATTTATTCTTATAACTCCAAATTTTATGGCGGACATTTTTACTGCTTTCTACTAAAGTGCGATATTTGTAAGTAAAAACAACATAGCTAAACACTGTTTATGATTATGGCTTTCAGAGTTAATTCTCTATACACCCCGGAAGTGCCACACAGGTTAATTCGTTTCGTATTTTATCACAGACCCTTTTCCTTCAATTCCTTAATAACAAAATTAAATTGGCATTCACTATCGATTTTGAGAGCTTGCGGGCCTCAGGAGAATTTAGAGTTGCAACAGCAATATGTTAATTAGATCGAAGTTATATTTCATGGATTAAAGCACCGGTTGATTGAAAAGCAACTCAAATCCTATGATTGATGGTTGATAAGTTCAATCGGTGTCTTGCTAATTCGAAATTAACTTTTCGATCAAGTCTGAGGTTATGGCGACACTCTCTGCCGACAAAAAAACAAAAAAAAAGTACATTGATCTTTAATACTCTCTAGAGTCACATAAGTTGTCTTCCAAGATGACGGGAAGGGACGTTTTCACTTGCATTCTATCGCTTGATTAATGGTAGAGTATTTTATATTTATTTATTTTATTTTATAAATTAGGATAGAAGCGATCTCTGCAAATATCACCGACGTCGTAACTCGGTTTACCGTATATTTAATGTTAATTTTTCTTGCCCGCTATGGGGGATCGTTTTTTACAAAAAAATGTTATCTTTGTGATCCCCATGGCAGAAAAGTCTGGCAATACCACTCCGTTAAAAGGACATCCCACATATTCTAAACCCGTTTTCGAAGCCCTGTGAAATTAACATATGTGACAGCAGTCCTTGAAATCTGACATTTATGCATTCTTCACATTTTTACGTTGAACAGATATGTTTTAGGGTAAAACATCACCCTTGTAGTTTAATTTTTACATTCGGTAAGGTCGATTTAAGCCTAGAATGAATTTATCGCACCTCTTTATATTTCTCTATTGGGTCAGAGATTAATCGATATGTTGTGATTTATGATCATTTTGAACATGTCTTTTTGGTTACCCAAGAGGAAAACACATATTTTCACTTTCAAAGTATTTGGACCTCAATATACACAAAAATCAATTTCTCCAAGAAGTTTAACTTGCGATATTGCATGCTTTCAAAGAGATCATATTTAACATTTCCTAATTGATTTACATGTTTTGCATGTAATTGCGTCTAATCTTAAACGCCGGATCGGATTTATGGAATCAGAATTGTAAAAAGGTAGTGAGACGCTACATAGAACACAACTAACCTTCACTGAAACCCTTACAAAAATGCGGCTGTAAAGCGGTGTCTATCTAACCATCCAAATACCCTTATCCATTGTAAACGTTATTCTTCCCGCTTAGACTTTTTAAGATTTTCCTTGATATCTGCACGATTTGTTCATTCTAGTTGAATTGAAACTGAAACTCCGCGAAGCAGACAATTCGCTTGTTGGGACTTAACCCTAGACAGAACCTTGTCAGAATATCATGGCGGGGCGATATATCATAACCAATGATTTATAAGGATCATCTTGGAATCGATATCTGAGATGCAATAATCTCATTCTAATCACGAAAGGCGATTTATAATGTAAGGTTAATCGTATTATAAATTCTCCCGTATCTTGAAAAATGAGTCGTCTGAGAGTTACTTAAGAATGGTCACAATAAAACAACCTCTTGTGGTCTTGATGCAGTTTCATTCCTCGTTCAGATATTGTCATTTTTGATTAAGACTGTAATAGGGTATAATGGGTATTGTTCATGCGTTATTGTTCCTCAATAGAATGATCACAGTATCGATCAATTTTTTGAAGAATACTACCAATTCCAAAAGATTGATTTGTCGTATTTAAAAGATAGCTCCAACTTCATATATACTATAATAGGCTCTGTCCCTCAGGGTAAGAGCATACGTGTGAATTATCGTGTGTTAAGCTTTAATTGGTACGATACACCAAATACATCGATTTATGGTAAAGGTGATCAATCTGGAACTGTGACATGGAGCACACTTTTGATTAAGCAATGGCTATATCTACATTTTCATAATTTGCAAAAGGTTTATAAGCTCACTTTACAAAAACACGTTTTACTTCAGGTATATATGTCTAAATTTAAAATTAAAATCAGTCCTTTGGCAACGAGGGGTTGATTTCCATAATAGCTGATATTTTTTTTATCATTATTTGAAAATCCTAATAAAGATAACTGAAATAATCGTATTAGTTTTATGTTATTTTGGGGAGGTTCTGAAAGTTGTGGAGATGTAGTTGGAATATGCTAGGTCGCATATATTCAGAAGAGATTCTTGTTTCCTAGTGAGGCCCTTTTATCGAGGTGATTATTTTGAAAGGTGAATAATGTGTTTAGCCTTGTTAAAACAGGATTTCGATGTCAATTTATGATTTGTATAAGGCAAAGCATTCCATTCTCTGACACATGTTTATACAAACAATATATTGGTATTGTAATACTGTTGATGTTTGAAGCACATGAGTATCCGATTACGTTTGACCGGCTGATTTAAGGCATGGTCGATGTATCTTGTATTATTGTCAATAATCAGAGTAAAATGGTGTGCCTAGATAGAATTAGCATCGGCATATATTAATGTTTTTTAGGATATTGTCTGGCATTTTATATAAATTAGGAACATAAGAGGACCTAAAATCGATCCGTTGGGACCCCCTGCATTTAAAAATCTATTTGAATATTCTGACTATTAACCATATACTAAAAAGTATTTTCCTATTTTACAGGTTAAGAATTCCGTAATATCATGGCAGACTTCATTGCTTTTTAGTTTTGTAAGTATGCATTTGATGGCCAATGCATCGAAAGCAGCTGATATATCAAGGAATGTACCATTGAGACCTTGTTGACTCCTTTTTGATGGGATGCGTTCTGTTTCAAACTAAACAAAATGTATTAATTATGCCCTTCTATTTTCAGTGTCAGTGATTGGTTCATTACCTTTCAAAACATTATTTCTACAAGCAAGAGATCCAGATACGGGGGATACCATTGGTAGATTTGTGAGGCAATCAACTTTAAATGTCACACAGATCTGGACCTGCTCAAATACTGACGACACGACAATCACGACGACTAAACTCGATAAGCATGAGGTCATATTGAAATGGGAAGCACCGTCGGCCAAAGACTATACTGGACACGTACAGTTCGTGTAAGTGAGCCTATCTAATATGATATATTTTTCTGAAAAGACCCAAACATGGGTCTTTTGGGTCACACATACGTATGACCAATCACCCATACAAATGCATCGCTTAAATATTTTCCGTTCACGTTTAGGTTGTGAAAGACATTGCATGCTTAAACTCCCTATTAATTCGTTACGACGTAAGATTTGCATAATCAAATGACTTTGATACAACGCTTTTTTCTGAAAATACCAAGATCTCATAAATATTGCTAACAAAGTAAGAGACTAACTTACTACTCGAGCAGTTATTTAAAGCTCTATTAATATTTACAGATACTTAAGGTAAGAAGTTACAGAAAAACCTGTCTAATCCCAACACTACAGGGACTAACTAAAAGCGTTCGAATGAGAAGGTGTTCACGTTTAAGGTTACTTTTACAATGGAGTCAATGGAAGATAACGAAATTAATATAATGAAAAAGGTGTTTATATTGAAAGGTGTTCGGATTACAGAGGTGTCAACACCTTTAATAACTTTAATAACTTTTGTTAAAAACACTATAAGATAGCCAGAGTTTGAATGTATATTGAACACAACCGTAACGCGATATAAATTTTCCTTTTAATATTAATTGCTTTAGAGAAGATGCTTTAATTGAGATGAAAAATAGCATAGAGACCCTGCCGCAAACTAAACTTATGCCCTTTACCATTTTATGAATTGTTTTGCCTACGAAGCCACCACGACCTGCCAAATGATGAAGAATGCAGTATTATTAAAAATCAATGTGCATCAAAGGAACAAAGTGTTTTTCGATTTATGGATCAACATAGTCTAACGGATTTCCATGTATCTGTACTTTATAAGATAAAAATTGTCTTAGACAGGTCTTTAAATAAAAATAATAAAGTAGACTGGGTTGCATGGTAATTTGACAATTTAATTAGGAGAATCAATGTTTTAAGCATGAATCACATTGTGGCATGAAATATATGAGTGTTGATAATTTAAATTCTAATAGTTCACAATTCTCTAGTCATTTATGACAGCAATTGCACAAAAGGGACGTTCTTGATGCCTCTCTTGATTGAAGAATTTTTTATGAACAACTTTGTAATAATTGAACTTTGTGTGTTATATGCGTTATTTATTAATATACACACATCCTATTCCATAGGATTGACTGGGCGTCCCCTTTTAGATCACGTGTTAACGCCTTTTTATGGTTTGCGATTCTGATAAATTCATCATTAATTTTTTTTACCTTGTGTAATGCGGAATAAAATTCAGATTCAGTCAGAACAGGCTTTACCAGGCTATCCAACTGGGATTTCAGATTGCCAGATTTACTGAGATTTACATTTTTCTACTTCTGTTTCAGTGGGGTCGTGAGCTTCAATGACACATCGTATTGGGAAGATGTCACATCGGCAACTATACCCAAAGGTTGGTGACTTCGTTATTAAGTTTTATATTAAACTAGGAAAATGGATTTAGGGTGCATCACCATTCTACGCAGAGCTTTTTTCCGAAACTGATCCTCAACACAATACTATTCAATACTAATAGGACAACTACCAACTATATGTTGAGTAGACCAAAACATTTTTCACTCAAATATCCACGCCATTAATTCAACATTTTTCACGGTACAAACCATAACATAAGACGTCATAGATACTAGTTTACAGTACTCATTCAAGATAAACCACCCTTAGATAATGTAGAACATACAAAATCCGAAAGGTAAATTGAGGAGACACCCTACCAATTACATAACTCGAGGTTATATGTCGTCTGTAAAGCATTTATAAATTACCTCATTGATTTGCTTCCTTATGGCACCACCACAAGTTTTGACATATTGTTATAGTCTCAATTTATTGGTATTTCAGCGTTTGGCGTTCGACGTTCGGAGTTTGACGTCTGTAACAAATTACAGGTGGTGACATTTGCATGTAGTAAATTGTAAGTCTTAGAATCAATGACAAAATGTTTACTTATTTTGTTTAGGATTCCCTCCCATAGATGTTAGTACCTGTGGCACTGAGAAAGGATGTTTCAGGTAAGAAATACTTCTGGATTATATCTGCCCTGTTGCCAGTTACCTTATCACATTTGAAGACATATATACGGATGTTGGTCCTGTGATAAAAGTCCCCAGACTGGTGTTTCTTCGCTGTAATTATATTCAAATGGAGTTTTTACCCAAAATGTATCTTTAAACTTTTATATATATTTTGTAATATGGATTTCACGCATTCATCCGTTCTTATGAGTACAACATAAAACTTTAGACTAACATTCTGGTCCTATTTTTACAAGATTTGGGAAAACAGATTGTGGACATCACGAGTGTGACTACATATTCACCCATTCAGTTGTGAACAATATTATCAACATCGAACTAAGCGCTAAAGGTGGATATGCTGGAGTAGGGTTCTCCTCCGATAAAGAAATGGTACGTGTCAATACATCCTAGATGCCAGATCGTAGGTTTCGTTCATGTTACTGTTATGTACTGTCTCTCAGTTGTTGAAAATTGTGCCTTCTCGGTCATTTTTAGAAACTGATTCTTACAGTACACAGGTAAATTTCACTTTGATCGATTGTAAGTTTTAACAACCTCATATTAAGGAGAAGGATGATGGGGAGGAAGTGGGATGAGGGAGAGAGACGGGTTAGGAGAATCAATATGACGTCATGGGAGAAATTTGGTATTAAAGGAGAATGTCTGGAAAAATGAAACAATTCAAAAAGTCAAACTAACTTGCCCATTAAGTCTGCACACAGTTTATTCCACTTTTATCATCCCACTCCATTGTGTGGAAACTATAGAAGAGACTGTCTGGCGATATAACACAATGTAAATAGTTTATTCCAATTGTTTCCATAAAAGGTCACCTAATTTCTGTTGTTTTCTTCCTCCTCTCTCACAGAGGGCTGTTATAATCAATCAATATTCTCACTCATGGATCCATATTCAGATGAGAAAATGCAATTTTTAACCATCAAGAAATATATGATCAATCTTATCAAACTTTCCAGAACAATTAGTTTGTATAACTGACATTATGTCGTCGATGTTTTTGATTGTGCTTACTCCAGGTTCTTATTTAAAGGGGCAACAAGGCATGTAGAGAGAAAATAGGAAAAATTTTACTTTTTCTGAGCTATCAAGGCAAGATTTGGCTTAACATTTTCTTTGACATAACAATAACACGCTCCGTTTGTTCTTTTTCTTCTGCCAGTGCCAGGCCAGTCGCTTGTTGTTGTTGGCGTATCAGTCATATTCAAAGCGTTTTCATCGGTTTTATTTCGTAGGGAGGTGATGATATTTTGAGTTGTGTTAGGTCTGCTAAAGCGTCTGACGTCACGAGACATTACTGGACAATATTTCCTCATCAGTTGCCGAAACTTCGTTCAAGGGCCGTCATTCTCCAACCCGAAACTGAAATGACATCTCACTACGTATCGTGTAGATTTTCTCGCTATTTGAACCCTGACGATAGATACAGCTTGGACTTGAACAATCCTTATCATCATCTCTATGCATGGGGCCCAACGACAGGAGGTAAGGTGCAACCTATTAATACAGAATTAATGAGGCAAGAAATACTAGTGCTGCCATAAGCTTTTTATATTTATGAGACAAGAAATACTGCCGTTATACTGCCAAGAAATCCAGTAAAATAGCATTGTCTTAAAAGTTGTAAACAATGGAAATGGTGATATTAACATTGGGGTAATTTACCCAACAAAAATGCCTGATTATTTAGATCTGATTATTAGTCCCGAGCCCGACAAATGTTTTTCACAGAGCGGGATATAATGAATCACAGATACACTGTCACGTAATTTTATAGGGCTCGCGGGATAGTCGCAATTGCAAACACCTTTATCCCGTATGAGCACTTTGTAGCACTGAGCCTCGGGACAGTCAGTTTCTCAAACTCACTGTCCCGTAATTTTTTTTTTGCAAACGTCGGGATATAATTGATTGAGACCTGACATGTCCCGGCGCTGGGTAAAAAAATTTGCTGCGGGATAAAGTGATTTCAGAACTTGACTAATGCTGATCAAAGTATATGCTATCAAGCCATCACACATCTCTATGTAATTACCATACTATATTACCCTTGCAAAAAATTTCCATTTTTCATCATTGTGCTGAATTATATCAACATCAGTCTTTAATCTTTGAAATTTTGCTAAAGTCTATTGGGAGGGGTGGCATGTACACACTTGATTCATAATGCTATTGTTTGTGTGTGGGGGAGGGGGCATCTCCACACTTGACTCATATCATGGTCTATAAGAATCACAACTGTCACACATCATCATTCCATCTGGTATCATTTAAGTATCTATGAATATGATTTGTAGTATGTACATAAATCCTTGTGCGCCATCTTGTATCATATATTATGCCTATTGTTGTATATGTCTTTTTATTTTTTAATCAGCTAATATATATGTATATAAATCCTGGTGATGTAATGTTGTCATTTCTCAAGCCATCTCATATCATTTATCATCCTAATTGTTCATCTGTCAACAGCTCCTTCCAGTGAATTAAATAAAAGTTGTTTTTCACGATAAATACAGGTGAAGTATTGCGGCAATTCATTAAATAAAAGTTGTTTTTCACGATAAATACAGGTGAAGTATTGCTGCAATTCCACATGCAATCTGTTTTTCCATCTATTCCCTGCTGTTATTCCACCATATTCTATCTATATGTTTTTGACATGCTGATTACCCATGTCATACATCCTGAAATAAGCAAATAAGATTCATTTACCAAATATGAACAAAATCGCTCCACTACTTTTCAATTTAAAGTTAAAAAAGTAAAAATGGTCGCCATTTTTCAAAATGGTCGCCTACTACCCAAAGTGTCATTAGACAGTGTGCCATGCTTATAGTATTCACATACCAAATATGAACAAAATCGCTCCACTACTTTTCAATTTATAGTTATAAAAGTAAAAATGGTCACCATTTTTCAAAATGGTCGCCTACTACCCAAAGTGTCATTAGACAGTGTGCCATGCTTAAAGTATTCACATATAAAATATGAACAAAATCGCTCTACTACATTTTGAGTTATAGTAAAAAATGTAAAAATGGTCGCCATTTTTCAAAATGGTAGCCTCCACCAAAAGTGTTATTCGACAGTGTGCCATGCTTATAGTATTCACATACCAAATATGAACAAAATCGCTCCACTACTTCTCAATTTATAGTTATAAAAGTAAAAATGGTCGCCATTTTTCAAAATGGTCGCCTACTACCCAAAGTGTCATTAGACAGTGTGCCATGCTTATAGTATTCACATATAAAAATATGAACAAAATCGCTCTACTACTTTTTGAGTTACAGTAAAAAATGTAAAAATGGTCGCCATTTTTCAAAACGGTCGCCTACTACCCAAAGTGTCATTAGACAGTGTGCCATGCTTATAGTATTCACATACCAAATATGAACAAAATCGCTCCACTACTTTTCAATTTATAGTTATAAAAGTAAAAATGGTCGCCATTTTTCAAAATGGTCGCCTACTACCCAAAGTGTCATTAGACAGTGTGCCATGCTTATAGTATTCACATACCAAATATGAACAAAATCGCTCCACTACTTTTCAATTTATAGTTATAAAAGTAAAAATGGTCACCATTTTTCAAAATGGTCGCCTACTACCCAAAGTGTCATTAGACAGTGTGCCATGCTTAAAGTATTCACATATAAAATATGAACAAAATCGCTCGACTACATTTTGAGTTATAGTAAAAAATGTAAAAATGGTCGCCATTTTTCAAAATGGTCGCCTCCACCAAAAGTGTTATTCGACAGTGTGCCATGCTTATAGTATTCACATACCAAATATGAACAAAATCGCTCCACTACTTCTCAATTTATAGTTATAAAAGTAAAAATGGTCGCCATTTTTCAAAATGGTCGCCTACTACCCAAAGTGTCATTAGACAGTGTGCCATGCTTATAGTATTCACATATAAAAATATGAACAAAATCGCTCTACTACTTTTTGAGTTACAGTAAAAAATGTAAAAATGGTCGCCATTTTTCAAAACGGTCGCCTACTACCCAAAGTGTCATTAGACAGTGTGCCATGCTTATAGTATTCACATACCAAATATGAACAAAATCGCTCCACTACTTTTCAATTTATAGTTATAAAAGTAAAAATGGTCGCCATTTTTCAAAATGGTCGCCTACTACCCAAAGTGTCATTAGACAGTGTGCCATGCTTATAGTATTCACATACCAAATATGAACAAAATCGCTCCACTACTTTTCAATTTATAGTTATAAAAGTAAAAATGGTCACCATTTTTCAAAATGGTCGCCTACTACCCAAAGTGTCATTAGACAGTGTGCCATGCTTCAAGTATTCACATATAAAATATGAACAAAATCGCTCTACTACATTTTGAGTTATAGTAAAAAATGTAAAAATGGTCGCCATTTTTCAAAATGGTCGCCTCCACCAAAAGTGTTATTCGACAGTGTGCCATGCTTAGAGTATTCACATACCAAATATGAACAAAATCGCTCCACTACTTCTCAATTTATAGTTATAAAAGTAAAAATGGTCGCCATTTTTCAAAATGGTCGCCTACTACCCAAAGTGTCATTAGACAGTGTGCCATGCTTATAGTATTCACATATAAAAATATGAACAAAATCGCTCAACTACTTTTTGAGTTACAGTAAAAAATGTAAAAATGGTCGCCATTTTTCAAAACGGTCGCCTACTACCCAAAGTGTCATTAGACAGTGTGCCATGCTTATAGTATTCACATACCAAATATGAACAAAATCGCTCCACTACTTTTCAATTTATAGTTATAAAAGTAAAAATGGTCGCCATTTTTCAAAATGGTCGCCTACTACCCAAAGTGTCATTAGACAGTGTGCCATGCTTATAGTATTCACATACCAAATATGAACAAAATCGCTCCACTACTTTTCAATTTATAGTTATAAAAGTAAAAATGGTCACCATTTTTCAAAATGGTCGCCTACTACCCAAAGTGTCATTAGACAGTGTGCCATGCTTAAAGTATTCACATATAAAATATGAACAAAATCGCTCGACTACATTTTGAGTTATAGTAAAAAATGTAAAAATGGTCGCCATTTTTCAAAATGGTCGCCTCCACCAAAAGTGTTATTCGACAGTGTGCCATGCTTATAGTATTCACATACCAAATATGAACAAAATCGCTCCACTACTTCTCAATTTATAGTTATAAAAGTAAAAATGGTCGCCATTTTTCAAAATGGTCGCCTACTACCCAAAGTGTCATTAGACAGTGTGCCATGCTTAAAGTATTCACATATAAAATATGAACAAAATCGCTCGACTACATTTTGAGTTATAGTAAAAAATGTAAAAATGGTCGCCATTTTTCAAAATGGTCGCCTCCACCAAAAGTGTTATTCGACAGTGTGCCATGCTTATAGTATTCACATACCAAATATGAACAAAATCGCTCCACTACTTCTCAATTTATAGTTATAAAAGTAAAAATGGTCGCCATTTTTCAAAATGGTCGCCTACTACCCAAAGTGTCATTAGACAGTGTGCCATGCTTATAGTATTCACATATAAAAATATGAACAAAATCGCTCCACTACCTTTCGAGTTATAGTAAAATACATTAAAATTGTGGCCATTTTTCAAAATGGCCGCCTTCTACCAAAAGTGTCATTAGACAGAGTGCCATGCTTGTAGTATCCATATACCAATTATGGACAAAATTGCTCCACTACTTTTCGGGTTATGGTAAAATACGTTAAAATGGCGGCAATTTTTCAAAATGGTGGTCATTTTTCAAAATGTCCGCCTTCTATTAAATGTGTCATTAGACAGTGTGCCATGCTTATGGTATTCACATTCCAAATATGAACAAAATTGCTCAACTACTTTTCAAGTTATAGTAAAATACGTTAAAATGGCCGCCTTCTACCAAAAGTGCCATTAGACAGTGTGCCATGTTTATAGTATCCACATACCAAATATGAACAAAATCGCTCCACTACTTTTCGAGTTATAGTAAAATATGTTAAAATGACGGCCATTTTTTAAAATGGCCGCCTTCTATCAAAAGAGTCATTAGACAGTGTGCCATGCCTATAGTATTCATATTCCAAATATGAACAAAATTGCTCCACTACTTTTCAAGTTATAGTAAAATACGTTAAAATGGCGGCCATTTTTCAAAATGGCCGCCTTCTACCAAAAGTATCATTAGACAGTGTGCCATGCTTAAAGTATTCATATACCAAATATGAAGAAAATAGCTCCACTACTTTTCGAGTTATAGTAAAAAAAAGTAAAAATTATGGCCACTCTTCAAAAATGACAGTCAGTGACATGGTATGATACATGATATGACATTGAGTGCCATTGTATGTTACAAATATGATTGTAAGTGACATGGTATGTTTCAAGATATGACAATGAGTGACATGGTGTTACAAGATATGACAGTGAGTAACACAGTATGCTACATGATTTGACAGTGAGTTACGTAGTATGATCAAGATATGGCAATGAGTGACATGGTGTTATAAGATCTGACAGTGAGTGACATGGTATATTA